AACTTTTTATAGTTATGACATACATATTGTCAAGTATGAAGCCTGTTTTGGGATTTGAGTGTGGTGAGGTCAACTAAAGTTGTTATTGTGTGCTTTACTGTTTTGAAAAGTATACCTACTTGTTGTATTACTGGACCAGCAACGGGTAAAAATCATTAAATTTACTCCTATCAGTTTAAAGTTGGAAAAATAACCATAAAAAGTAAATTTATAAAGCACTCTTCATTCGCCAGACCCTTAATACCTTAAAATTGGGGAGCGAGCTGGCGTAGTGGCTAGAGCGCGGGACTTCGGTCCGTGAGGTCCCGGGTTCGATCCCCGCCAAGTCACCAATGGATTTTATCTAAGTGATAATGCCGCAACCCCTAGGTCGAGCCTGAAGTAATGTGAAAAACAATCCCAGGCTCGTGCCTAGCGTCCTAGGACAAAAAAAAAAAAAAAAAAAAAAAATACCTTAAAATTGTCTTCATCTGATCTATAAATATTATGTTTAAAGGGAGTTGGGAGTTTGTTTGATCTATGGTTTGGGTATATACGTCAGTTGATAAATCTGTTAGTTATTTTCTGGAGATACATTTCCTTAGCGTCTAATCTGTATTATTAACATTTCTAGTTATCCAACTGTGGAGAAATAAACATTGAAATCAAACGGTTTGTCTCAAAATAAAAATACTTCACCAAATCTATTTCATCGTCAGACATTTTTAACTTCACCTTCAGATCAACTTCGTCAAACTGATGTTTACGAAGATTTTTCTGGATTTCAAACATCTGTCCAGCTATTGGCAACATTTGATTGGTGAATGAGTCATCATCGATTAGTTTTGTGCTGTTTATAACATCAAGAAGACTACACATTCTAGAATGTAGCTGGCGTAATTCATTGATCAGTTTTGTTCCGTTTGTTTGAATCGTATTGTTTCCAAATGAAGTAGGCTGTTTAAGATTGCTTTTGTCTGGTTCAACGTAAATACAAAATATGAATGTATTGTACATTAAAATAACATTTAAAATGTAAATTACATAACAACTGTTCATTATTTAGCAGTTAAAACTAAATTATAATACTGTATGTAGATTTTCAAGTGATCAATGATATTTCACTTCTAAAAATACAATTGGTTTGATATATTAGTATTTAGTTTATGTCACACTTCATAGTATTTTTAGTTATAAAACAGCTAAGTTTTTTTGTAAAATAAAATAAAATAAGAAGCTTTTTTATCTCCAACAATATAAGATGGCAAGATATAAAAATCAAACTAGACTATAAAACAGCCACTTAAATTGCTAAATTAGTTTTATATAACACAATGAAAAATTTTACACGTTAAAAACCCTTGTATCATGTTATTGTAGCACTGAAGAGTGACTTCTACATAAAATGATTCTGGCGTTTATCTTTTTCCAATTTATTTACCCCAGCAAGGGAATATTTTCAGTTCCGAAACACCACGAGACACCTTATGTTGACGAAAAATATACAACACCATTTGAGAAAAACTCAACAAATGGCACGCTTTTGGAAAAGATTACTTATCTAAATAAATTGGCACACAAACTTGTGAACAAATTGACTATTGACATTGAAAACTGCACCAGCAAGGAGTTTGTGGGATTTCAAGATGATTTGGACTTGCTTCATAACAAATTAGAGGAATTCCATTTTATCGAGTCAAACAAAACGGAGAATTCCGTCTGGTCGAACAAAACAGCAAGTCTTTATCTTGATACAATTAATACTGTGATTAAGTTTAATGAGATAGTCACCAGACTCATTTGATTTAAGGTTGAAAAATATTTTCTTTAAGTTAACTCAAAGTTTAAAGACCAATTGAGTAAAAAATGTGAAATTCTGTTAACCAATATAGACCGAAATAAAAATTAAAGAATGTTTACAACTTAACTCTGGAACCAAGGTCATTTGTACTTGAAAAGTTACTATAGTTATACTACTAATATACAAAAATCAAATATTTTTATTATTACTAGAGTCAAATAAAATAATTGAATTCTAAATTATCTATACCATATGATAGCCTATAATTCAAAGAATTCGCTAAATTAATTAACAAGTACATGTTTCTTGGGAGCTATCAATGATTTATCAACAAGTTATTAATTTGTGTGGACCAACACATGACAAAGTGCAATTTTAACATGTATACACTGTTGCGAGTATTGATAGGAGTCCTCTGTGTTCAAATAGTTTTAACAAAAAAAGACAGCAAGACGAGTGAAAAAATAGCAGAGTTGGACGATACTATCTGCAATGGAATCAAAGAACCTATGAAAGGTGGTGCTAAAAACCTACTTAGTGACGTAAAACTGTTTAACACTCTTTTCCGTAAAGTCGCTAAAGCTGTGTTTGCAACTAAAGACCAAGAACTGAACCATAAGAAAGCAGAAGTGGCAGAGATTGTCGTCAAATACCATCCACACTTTCTAAGAATTCTCATCGATGAAGACAAATTGAAAAGCGAAGGAGAATGGGAAGAGAATGACATAAAGAATTTGAAAAGTTTGTTTATGGCCGCGAAAGATACCAGGAATAAACTTAGAACTGCTTTACAGAGTTTTAAAAAGACTCATGTGGGTTATATGAACTAAAACGTCAAAAACATTGGAAAAGTGCAAATGAAAATAATTATACCTTAGACTTATTTTGTTAAGAAATTCATAAAAAAAAATTCATTTAACATTCATAAATATGTTGTACTGAGATTGTTAATTCTGTTTGTTAACCTCAAGATGATTTGCATCATATAGCTATTATTGAAATGAGTTCTCTACTTAAGAGAAAGATCTACCCACCTGAGAAGAGAAACCTTTGAAAATTATTTGGAACATGTTGTATTCACTTCACCACTAAAAACTCCATTCTTAAAATAAAAATAAAAACTAGGAAGTATATTTTTATTTCAAACTTTGGATAAAACTTCCCACTTTGCTTCTTTTGGGGCAAACTTCTTGGAAATATTTAAGATAAAAATAGTTTACAATGCATATAATGGCACTGTTATACCAAAAAGAGGATCATTAAGTTTAAAATGCAACAATTAACTTTTGACACCCTTGTCTTGATGTACGTGTAATAAGGTGATTCCAATTGGGGTTCAGAGACCTACTGACCTATTCACAGGTTTAGCACTATATCCTTTTACTTAATATTAATAATCATCACAACCAAGTAAGTTTATAAACAACAATCAGGATTGCGTTTTGGAATATTAAAACAACACAACGTACATGTAAAACACACCAAGCAGGCTTCCGATTTCACAACAGCATGAGATATGTCTATGCAGTATAAAAAATTAATAGTGTTATAGGCAGATAAGCTTTAGTTATCAAAGACATCTCCTATATCCCTAAAACTATGATTGACACCCCACAACTATGTAGTTTCTAATAATAACACGCAAGCATTAATATCTCTGAATAAAAATAAAAATATATATTTATTATCAAAATGGCAGTGGTTTTTTCGTCGAATATTTCACATACAGATTATATTTATACTTCCTAAATAATTCGGCACGTACCCTCTCCACCTCAGCAATAAGTTCATCGAGCAAATCTAGTTCATCGTCCGTCCACCCGTAGTCGCGTCTCAACACTGGCACTATCTCGTCCAAATCCAACAACAAAAACTTCGGTCTTCCTTGGTCGAACAATGCATCAGTGATCCGAATCGCTCTCCTTTTCTGTTTATCGATACGCAGTTCCCGCAACCGTCTCAAATACTTGAGGAAGTGTTGAATCTTTGCGATGACATTTTGAGCTTCCCCGCTCCTGGGGCGGCGGAAATAATTGTAAATGTAACGATCGGAAACCAACAGCTCCGTTCCTAACCTCTCATACATTGCAACGGTTAATCCAAACATTAAAAATAAAAATACTATCTTCATTTCTGTTGATCATTTCTACACAGATGTTGGCAAATGAATCATTTGCCTGAACACAATAACGGTTGAATCCACTATTTACGTCATATACACGTGCGGTTATAATTAACGTAAGATCAGAAGAATCGTTAAATATCAATGGGTGAGATAGTTAACTCACTTGACGAACACTCATAATCAGTGATATTTAATCTTTTTATATAATAACGGATCAACTCTTACTGTATACAGATATACTAGAGAATATACTTAGGAAAAAGAAGAAATATTAGTATAAGTGTTGCTTGTTCTTTTACATTATTAATAAAAAAAATTAAAAATGGAAATATTATGAAAATTGTTATAAGTTTCTTATTAAACACACATAAAAGCACATAAACCTAGTGATAATCAATACAATATACTTACTGACTTTTTTGTTTTTTAATCAATAGTAATTTAATCAGTCCTAAAACAATACACTATTGTAATTGACATTGTCATCATTATTGTAAAAAGATATACTGCAATGCTTATATACTTACTAAAATTAGACATGAAAAATTATTTGAATACTTAGAGTATGCCGTTAATTCAGTATTAAACAGGTTTAAAATAGGCAAAGTTAACATACTTAAACTATGAATGACAAAGGGTCCGAGTTAAAAAAGGCTAATGGTTATCACAGGTGTAATGGACTGATCATAATAAAACTTTAACATGAAAAATTGCACAAGTGACAATGAAATAAATCCAAAAGAATATTTCATTTTCATAATTGAATGAAAAAATTAGGTCGGTAAGGTTGGATAGGGTAGTTACTAATTAGCTATTAATAGCACAGATAATTAAGGTGCAGAGGAAACATTCAATGGTAGCCTACACTTAAGTGGTGTCTAGGGCAAAGTCCAACACCCCCCTCCCTTGTCCACTAAAACGCTTACGGTGGAGGAAGACCCTGTGCCAAGTGTGATGGAAATTTCCGCACAATGCTTACAAATTAAAAATAAAAAAACCAAAAACAGAAACAGAAAAAAAATTAAAAATGGTTATCTTCACAAATAAGAACTAAAAAATACAGTAAATCCAAGGGCACAAATGAAACCAAATTGTTATTATTCAGACATATTTATTTCATCAAGAATAAAAACAATAAAAACCATTTAAAAATCTTCTTATTTATAAGTTCAATTTTCTAAAATCATGAATTTTTACACAAAATTTTCCACAGTGACTTACAACAAAAATTAATACAAAAAATTACAAACATAAAGAATTAAAACCAACTTAAATGATTCAACACATCACATATTTCTTGTTTTTCATTCAACGTATAAGGGAAAATGAAAACAATGATACCAAATTGTCATCATTTAAGCATATTTATTTCTTCAGGATTAAAAGCGTTTATATTCATAGGTAAAATGTTTAGGTTTGTGTTCTCATTACCTGATTTTTCTCAAATAATGAAAAATATTACACTTAAAGAGTTAATAACATCAAAAAAATATGACAGGTGAGTCGACACATCAAAGATGTCGTAGGTTTAGTATCCTCCTCTTCCTCTGAACCCTCCTCGGAATCCACCGCCTCCTCGATAACCACCGCCATCATTGCCTGTTGAATAAACCCGTATTTTAGATTATGTCAAAACAGTAACAATAACAGATGTGGACAAAACAGAAACAACAAAAGTAAATGACAAAACAAAAAATACTTGATGCAACTACCTTCAACAATAACAGCTACAACATAAAGCTGGTTGGTAAAGGGTTGATTGCCTAGACCAATACTGCAGTGAAGTAAATAAAATATAGTGATGGTAAAATGTTAAAGTATAGTTCTAGATACGATTCCTAAACTTGAAATCCTAAATCTGCAATTAAACTAAAATGTACATGAAATATTAAAGAATCTATGTTCAAATCGATACTCACTATTATTTACTGAATAAGGGCCAAAACATGTTGCTTTGTTAAAAGAAATAAAATTATACTAAATGTTTACAGATTTGATTTATTTGTTAGCCTAGTAAAAAAATAAGACAATTTATTACAATGTTGTGAAAATACTTGTGAGCAGAATTAACTATCTGGGTTGCCGAAACGTTTTATTTCTTGCCTTCAAATCCAAAGGTCGCTGGTTTGATTCCAAGCGAGATCGTTACCTGACTCAGATGCCTTTTGTCTATCATTTAGTGAAGCTATCTAAAAAGGTTATGTTAGATGGTAACATGACCATGGTTCGGACCGTTCCTTACAAAATACATTTAAAAAAATGCCATTAGCGTAAATAACACACAAAAACAAAATCTGGTTTGATTACTTACTTTATAGTTTTTCTATGGCTTTGTAACATTATCTTGACAGTTTTTCCTATTCGTCTCACTTAACTCTTGTGTTAACATGCAGTTTTAACTATTAACTAATTCTATTGTTTCAGGGTTACATGTTGGTTTACGGCATCCTGCTCTGAAGACCACGAAGTAGAGTGAAATTGTGGAAGACTTATTTCCTGAGTTCAAACTAGTAACTGTTGACAAAGTTAATGCTACAAGAAATGTTATATAAAATAGCTTAGTTTTAAAATAGTAACTGTTGACAAAGTTAATGCTACAAGATGTTATATAAAATAGCTTAGTTTTAAAGCGATAAAGCCAATAACCGAGTTCTTTTTACAACCTTCAAAGATTTTAAAAAAAGCAAACCAACTTTATATATGACGATTTACAGTGTTTGTTTGATTACACTTAACCTAAAATAATATACAAGTAAGCCTACAGAGAGTCACTGTTTAGAGGCCTAACAAGCTCATAAGTTGGCAGCCCTGCTTCCTTTACATTATTACCAATCAGCTGATGTACATTGTTGCATTCAATTTGTTTATTAACGGCATAAACCAGTTTACAATAATATAGACTTAAATTAGTACTTTACAGTTAACAAGATAACAGTTACAGCAAACAGGCACCATTACACAGGCAGGATTACATTTAGCAGCAAGCAGGTACAGTACAATATAAACAAACCATTTTGACAATTAATTATTGCAGTATTTAAAATCTATAAATACAAATCTGAGCAAAATAGGAAGAGTGATATGAAGGGTGACAAAAGAACAAAAAAAAGAAGAACAAACTGCCTAAATAATCCTAAAAGTAATGAGCCAATCTATTAATAACTGCATTATTGTCTAAAAGGTTTTTGTTAATATTTATTGTTAATAAGGTTTAACCTAGTGTTTTTACAAGCTCACAGAGTATGTATTACAGAATAATACATCAAAAACTAAAAGTATATGATTTGTTTTGTGTCCAGAAGGGTTTGCAATTAGGTTTCCAGAAGATTGCAGTACCTAAAAAGTTACCTGAGACAGCACAGGTTGTAAAAAAATGTAAAGATCCAGAATACGATACTTATTTTTTCATGGGCACCAATTATTATTCTTAAAACGTTATTGTCTAATTTGCAATAAATTCCAAACCCCCTTATTCAAGTAAAGAAAAGCCAAAAATTAACAATGTAGTTTATATCAGCTGATCGGTAATGAAGTAAGGAAGCAGGAGGGCTGCCTTATAACTTATAAGCTTGTTTTGCTCCCAAACAGGGACTTTATACATGTAATTTGGGTTGCATGAAAAAAAAAACTCTGTATATTTGTAGACTGACCTCTGAAACCCCAGCCCATTCCTCCGCGACCTCTAAAGCCTCCTCCAAAGTCACCTCTGCCTCGCCACCCCCTGTCACCTCCACCTCCACCTCCACGAAACATCTTGTTTGGAGGTCCTCCGTCATATCCTCCTCTCCCACCAAACTCTCGGGGCGGTCGTCTGCTTTGGAACCTGTAACAACATGTCACTGTTAATGTGAGGTCTATGTGTTAGCTATCATTTCAGCCTCTGGATTGCTTATATAATCAAATAAATAGTAAAGTCTTACCTTAGCAATCCTTATTATGGTGGTCCGATATTAATTTCAAACCCAGAGGTTCATCATCAGTCGGAAGTTTAGGTAGACCAAATGTTTGTTATAAAATCCACCCGATGGGTTTTGTAGAAATGTTGACATTTAACACGAAGACACACATTACAGTTGACATAAATAATATTCGTAGTTTAGGGATAAAAACCATGGTTTTATAAATTATTATTCTATGTGTTAGCACGATCAGTGATTTAATTCTTCCTTTTATAGAATTAAAAATACCCACAGTAAATTAGGTGTGAATATTATTTGACCTTGAAATAGTCCGTGATTTTCTGCTGAACATTTTTGTCCATCAAATTATTGTTTTTTTTTTTTTATAAAACAATTACTGTACCTGCTTGCTAAGCACACTGGAAATAATCAACAAACTATTTAAAAATTAGGTCTACTAGCTCAACTCAGTAGTGCACACAGTAAAATATAAACAGACAAATCGCAAGAGCGTTTGAGTCGTGGAGACTAGCACAAGCAACTGCATCAGTAAGTCTGCTTCTGCCGTGGAAATTATGTTTTGATATTGGTTTCTGAGAAGAGTACGGATAAAAAGAGGACCAATAAAACTGAGGCTAGTTATCACGGGTTCTACTGTAAACGTTTTAGTGAGGATAAACGACACAAACACAGCTCTACATACCCTGACAGCCCTATCTGCTCCATGTTATGTCGTCCAGCGTTGAGTTTACACAATTGTCGGATAACATTCATCACTTTCTCCTCCAGCGGTGTCGGCTCTGCGATCAGTTCCGGCTCCTTGCTAGCTCGCACCACCAGGCTCTCCATGGCCGGCCGCAGTGCGACAATGGCAGCTGCCACACGAGGGTCCATCTTCAGGTTGATCCTGTAACAAATTCAGATAAGTTTAAGAAACAGTAAAGGTATGAAAACCAATTTTGGAAGGTACGATTTGATGATGAGAAAGTAGTCTTTAGGTATAAAAACAACTTTCTCTTCAACTGATACCTATTTGAAAATGCTGTCAGTGACAAAGAACAATTCTAATTTTTTATGAGTAAATGATGCCAGATTGGAATATTTCCCATTCAGGTAAGCCTGCTATTCTCACATAAGTCCTAATTATTGTAAATTGATATTTCATAAAGTAACACTTCTCAAGGCAAAGCACAAATCTACATGTTAAAGAATCCTTTTTTTTAAGGAGAAAGCAAAATCCAGATTTTTATTCCTCTTTGTATCTATGCTAGCTTTACTCAAACTTAAACACCAGTAAGTGGTAAAATAGAATATCAACACAATTTACCATTGGACAGAGATTTACGTAACAAACTCACCATCCGTCAAGGCGAATCACTCCTTCCAAGTAGTCGACTTTCCGCGACCCAAACAGCAACAAATGAATCGGAGTCACCATGGTGGTCTGTTTACAGCTGACTGCTCTTGTTCGCACTTTCTCTCCAAACACAAAGAACGGAGAGGGGAATGTTTGTGGCAAATTGCTGCAGTTCACCGACTGTTTGTGGATCAAGGCCGCTTTAGATTCCATGGTCAACACTTTCCTTTTCTCCTTGTGGAAGCAGACGTTTGGATACAGCCCCATAGCGAGTAGTGCGACGACCATGTCAAGTTTAGCATCCAGCCCGTTGAAGTTGTACGCCTGTGGAATCATGGCTTCTTCAGGGAACCCAGTAGAAACTAGAAGATCCCTGAGTTGATTCTTCGCTTCCCACGTCACTCTGAGAGTGGGTATGGACAGTTGTTTGTGTTCGCAAAAATTTGCTTCGGCTTGAGGTCCGTTCGTCCGAACATCCTCCCATGCTTGGAAAGCGTTTAACATTGCGACATGGTCCGAATAACGAGTCCCTGCAAACGCTCTTTGTTGATAGCTGAGTCTCCGATCAGTGACAAATACTTCAGGCATTGTGGAACTGTTGGCAGCAATAGTCGCAAGTGCGTCGCCACAGAAGAACATCACTCCCAGAATCATCATTTTTCCCAACCTCGGTTCTATCGGTAACTTGGCTAGAATTTTTCCGAGAGGAGTCAGCTCGTCGTTGCGATCCAAACATTTCATTTCACGTAGGAGAACTTCAGCTTCGATCACAGCGTCAATGGGTGGAGGTTCAATGGCTTTGCTGAGGAACTGTGGAATAGCTCCGAGTCGTAGGAGTTTGATAGAGAGAGCAAGCTCGTGCAGAGGTGTGCGGAACATTTCAGGAGTCATGTGTTCATCTAGTTTGGCGTATCGGGCTCTGCTGCAAAGATGGAAGGAAAATCCTGGTCTGACTCTGCCAGCTCGCCCTTTACGTTGCTCTAGGTTGGTACGCGATGCCCACACAGTTGCATAGTTGGTCATGTTGTTATGCGAAGTGAACAGCTTCATCTTTGCCTTACAACTGTCAATCACATAAACCACATCGTCAATAGTGATGGAGGTCTCAGCGATATTGGTAGACAGTATAATCTTGGTGACGTCTTCCGGCACCGATTCAAAAACCCTCCTCTGATCTTCCCGAGGCAGCTGAGAATGCAGGGGAAGAATGAGGTAGCCAGGACCCCCAAAGACTGGAGACTGTTGTAAATGCTTCATCAACGAGAATATAACATTCCACCCAGGGAGGAAGATCAAAACAGCACCTGGAATTCCTAGACCTTTGATATACTTCAACAACGCATCGATAAGTTCGTACGGAATTTCTTTCTCACTCATAGCTGCAACGCTTTTTCTAGTCGCCTCATTGTAATCTCCTGAGACTTTAGTGTTTAAATTCTCTTCAAACTCCTCTGGGAGTGTGTCTTCTTTATCACCTCCGCTTTTGCGTTTCCTCGTGTCTGGTGGTGGTACAAAGTTCAACATCTGCACACAATCTTCCAGGAAGTATTCTTGCACCGGGAAAGCTCTTCCGGGAACTTCAATAACCGGACAGCCGTTGAAGTAGTTGCTGAAGAGAGTGGTGTCGATTGTAGCCGACATGAGGATAATTCGGAGATCAGGGTAAGTGTGCACCATGTCTCGGAGAACCACCATCACAAAGTCTGAGTTGACGTCTCTCTCGTGAATCTCGTCTACGATGACATGCGACACTCCTCTCAAGCCGTTTTCCAGTTTGCGCAGCAACACACCTGAAATTTGAAACTTAATGAACTTTTATATACAGACAGAGACTTCATAACAGTAATTTATATGTACACATTTTACCTTAATAACACAAATTCAACTTGTACACAACTCTATCATTACAAGATATTAAAATCCCCAGAAACACAACCAAATAATAAAATACAGTAGAACATTGGTTCAGTAACCCGCTTCCAGAAGGTGTGTAATTATAGCCTATATTAAAGCACAGTTAAATATACATCAATACAGTGATTACATTGCATTAATTACTGTAATCCATTTACAACAGGTGCAGTAATTAATCAGGTGCAACACTAAAATGCACTTCTATGCTACTGGCAAGTGGCAATGGCAACAAATCGAGAAACAAAACCAGGACGATGTGGTTCTCCACTCATAGAAAAATACATTGCTTCTAGACTGCAGTTATTGCACATTAAAGTGTTGCTGTAAATCTTTCAGGGCTGTGCGAATAGTTCGAAAAACGAATCGAATCCGAATCTTTTTAGAGATTCGATTCGGATTCGAGAACGAATCTACTATTTCTAACTGGATTCGGATTCGGAATCGATATTCGAATTTACTGGTAAGAGATCCGGGTTCGGATTCGATATTCAAATTTCTTGGAAATAGATCCGAGTTGGGATTCGATATTCAAATTTACTAGATTCTGATTGAATATAATTTTCAATATAATTTTTTAGACACTAAAAAACTACTTGTGCACTCCGATTTGCTGTTGACTGGTTCATGTTAGGAACCTGACCAACTTGGTGTTAGGCTTTAGGCACATTAGTGTAGGTCGCATCGCATTTGAACCCTATCTTGGCTATCAGTAAACTTAACCTCACAGTGTTAGTTGTTACTTGTAATAGTAATGCAGACATAGGCTTGTTTGGAGGATTAACACCGAGGTGTATAATAGGCTGGGCCTATGTTTTAGACTACACAGATTGGTAGTCCATCACTTTTAGCGAGCAACTTAGGCCTAGGTGGTAGGCCTAACTAATGCCCAATTTTTTAGTTTCAAAACTTCAAATAGGTAGGCCTAAATTTTATAACTTTTTTATTTGGCCCATTTCAAGAATTTTTTTAAGCAATTCCCTAAGTTATTTCAGCCCCAGAAAATGTGGTCTAAAAATGTGAAAATTGGTACTGCTGACTTTCCTCGGATTCGGATTTGACTCTGAACAGGTTTAAATATTCGGATTCGATAACAGCTTTAAATTTCAGATTCGGATTCGATCCGGGTTCGATAATAACTGTAAATTTGAGATTCGGATTCGACCCAGATTCGACTCGGGATTAATTAAAATATTCGGATTCGATCCGGATTCGATAAAATCTGTACAGCTATGATTCGGATTCGGATTTGAACCAAAATTTCTGGATTCGCACAGCCCTGAAATCTTTGCAGGAATTCTGGACTCAAATTGACTTAATAGTAACACCAATTTACTATTTAAATGACTACTACTCTCCATGGTCAGGCTTTTTCCTAAATACGTTTTACTAGCTGCCTGTTTAAGCAGGATTGTCCTGGAGGTTCTACCGTAACAGCAATGACAACACATTAAGTATAGTATTAAAAGTAGCCTAGTATATATTTTGTAGATGTAAACGTTAAAAAAAGTTAAAAATAGGTACCAACTTCACAAAACACATATCACTCACCGACAGTGCAGAACATAATTCCCCCGTAGGGTCGAGGTAGGCAACTCTCAAATCGCACAGAGTAGCCAGAACTCACACCTAACTCTTCCACTCTCTCGCACGCCACTCGGTCCGACACCGACACAGCGGAGATACGACGAGGTTGAGTCACTACGACGTTACAGTACGCACCTTGGCCGGACTGAATGTAGTCGTCCAGTATAAACTGACACACCTACGGAATACATTTTGGTTACATTTTTATTTTTTGTATACATTTTGTTTGTTTGGAAAAACTAACACAGTAGAATTCTAAATATCCAATTGGGACCGGATCCCATTCAAATAGTAAAAACCGTGGATAATGGAATCTCTACGTGTTTTTTTATGTGTTGACTTTACATCCTAGGGATTCAGGCTCTATCCCCGGACTGTTTTATTTTACACATTACTTCAGGCTAGTACTAAAGCAGTGTTTCCCAACCTTTTTCCGTTCAGGGCACACTAACTAGAACACGTTTGTAGTCACGGCACACTTTTCTACAAAAATATTGTGACAAAAATATCATGACCACAGTCGTGTCCGCCGTGCTACCTGCGTCAGTTTGTCCCTTATAAATGTGGCAGACTACCTTCATTAAATGTATTTTGTGTTAAAAATGTGTGAACTTTATGTTTAATGTTGAATGCAATTTTTTAAGTTGAACTTTATGCTTAATTAACAAGATGACGTGTATTTGTATCTTATAACGAAGACTTCTATCAGATTTATGGACCAATCAATTTGATGACATGGGTTTGAAAATGGGTCATTTATGACCCAAAACTAGTCACCCTTGACTATTTTAAAGACTGGACACGGAATAAAAAGGTACGGAACCTATCATATCATTCGTACATCAGTCCTGGTGGCAATGATGTTCGAAATATCAAGGGATAAGAAGTACTTTTTTATATTTCCTTCAAACAGACGCAGACTTTTCAAAATTGGAAACATGGATTTAACACTTACAAGTAATTCTACACAAAAGAGCGTGTTCTCATGAACGCGCAACCGCACTTAAAGCACCTCTATTACGACATAAAATTTTTTTTAACTACTTCAAATTTTGCGGCACACCGGTTGGGAAACACTGTACTAGAGGGTGGCGGCTAGTGATGTGTCAAAACCGAATCTCAAATCTCAAAACTTAGGAAAAGTTTCGGTTTCGAGATTCGATCACCAAGTTTTGAGATTCAAAAGTTTCGAAATTGAAGATTTTGCCAGTTTTATTTTTGAAACTGCTGACATTTTTTTTGTGTCATTGTTATTGTTTTCACACAACACTGTTTCCAAACAAGATGGTGGCAATAGAGCAAACATCACCATTAAACAGTAATGAAATACAAGTAAATTTTATTCTGAACTTCAAAAGGTATCTTAAATACTATAACTGGTACAATTCAGTTTCACATCAATATCATAGACAAACCAACACAAGGGAGTATGTTTTATCTATGTCAATATTTACTTAATACAAACAAATATTGACCACTAAATGTTCTAATTAATCTAATATTCATGTTAATGTTGGTGTTAGAAGTTTAAATTATTTATTTTTTGTTGGTTGTTTATGAAAAATTATTTTGTATTGGGTTTTAAGATTATCAGTCACATTCACATATTTATATTATGTCACGGTCGATCTCTTACAGTTTTGATTGCATACTTAACATTTTATGATTATGTGTATTTTTTTGTAACCTTGACCTTTGTAACCAGCTAAGTAAAAAAGTTTCGCGTTTAGGTTTTGAGATTCGAGATTCAATTTTTTAAAGTTTTGGTTTCGGTTTTGAGATTTGAAATTTCTGGTTTTGACCATCACTAGTGGCGGCATTGTCACTTATGGATCAAATCCATTGACGATGGGTAGGATTTGAACCTAGGACCTTAGGAACCGAGCTCCAGCGCTCCACCACTAGACCAGCTCGCTCCGTCAATTATAAGACACAAAAGTATATGATGGAAAAAATTGGCACACATTGAAATATGTAAAAGGTTGATGTAAACTGCAAAAAACTTAGTAATTCTTTTTATCTTGAGGTGATACTGATAGTTGGAGTTTGGATAATTGCTGTTCTACTGTGTTTGCAACGTTACTCAAAGTAAATACCTTTCTATGTTGCAATGAGAATAAGAAATTATTTGATTCAAATTGATTATGACTTACTACTCTTATACCAATTATTTTGCTATTTATATCCAAAGTGGATTCCAATAAATCAAATTTTATAGCTACAAAAAAATTTTAATTTGTTTTTGGTGAGATCCCCCAACTAAGTGCTTTGTGCTCTCATAACACAAGAAGGTCGCCAATTCAATTAGCATGCATGTAATGAATGTGACATTCTAGACAGTGTATCAAACTTAACAGTGTTCAAACTTTAAATACTACATTATGACAACTCTAATCTGTTCTCAAAACGTACCTTGAAAAATTCTTACTCAACATAACTAATTGTCTGTTTACAATATTATGATAATTTTAAAATTATTAAATTTAAGTCCTGGATAATGAATTTTGAAATTATAATTCAAATACATGAATAACAATATGAACATACCTGAGTAGTTTTGCCACAGCCTGTATTTCCCCGGATGATAACGACCGGGTTTTCGTTGATAGCGTTCATGATTTCATTTCTCTTAGCAGCCACGGGCAGCTTGTTCCTAGCCTCAATCATGCTCTGTAGCTTCGTATCACTCATCAATCGCTCTTTCTGGCCTCGCAACAAGTCCTCACTGATTTCATCCATGCTCACCTGCAAAAGCAAATCTTGTAGCAACTTAAAGCTTCAAAGAGAGTATATTATTTTGTTTGCAGTTTGGATGAAATTTGTATAGCCTACGATGATAACTAATTATTTGCAAAAGCAAAATTTTTAACAATATATAATGTTATCACTCTGCATGAAATGCATCAATCGTTTAGATGTTCTGTTAATTTCACTTACTTGTCAGAGGCCTATTATACAGGGTGTTTTTTTAAAAACTTGCATCTTTATTTATGTAAAAACCGCAATAGATAGAAATATGCAGTTTGCGGGAATCATCTATTGACGTAGGGGGCCCAATTGTTTTGAATTCAACGTTACATTTACATTCCCCCCCTGCCCCCAACTTATTTTTTTTTAAATAGCAAGGTACCCTTTGTGACATATCAAATGAAAGAGCATGAAAAAAGAAAATTTTTGGTGAAATTTATTTTTCATTTGATATGTCACAAGGGCGGGTACCTTGCTATTAAAAAACAAGTTATGGGTAAGGGAAAAGGGGGGGGGGATTATCTCACAAATTCATGAGCCGATTTTAATTTTTTTTTCACCAAAAATTTTCTTTTTTCATGCTCTTTTATTTGATGTGTCACAAGGGGTACCTTGCTTTAACAAAAAAATTAAGTTCCAGGAGGGGAGGGGGGAATATCTCACAAATTTATGAACCAATTTTTTTCATCAAACATTTTCTTTTTTCATGCTCTTTTATTTGATATGTCACAAGGGGTACCTTGCTATTTAAAAAAAATAAGTTTGGGGCAGGGGGGGAAAGGGGGGAATGTGAATGTAACGTTGAATTCAAAACAATTGGGCCCCCTACGTCAATAGATGATTCCCGCAAACTGCATATTTCTATCTATTGCGGTTTTTACATAAATAAAGATGCAAGTTTAAAAAAAAACACCCTGTATATTATTCCCACATAATTCTACATTTTACTGACCGTTTTACTATCTTATTATTTGTTTTTATTTATTTGAAAAATTGTAGATGCCTCTCAGAACAAGATTTCTTGGGGAAGAAATCACATTTCTCAGAAAATAAAGCAGATTCCACTGAAGGAAAGAAAGCAAGCCTCTCAGAAATTTAAAGCAGATCTTTTAGAGGAGGCAACAGGCCTCTCAGAAAGTGGCTGGTCTCTCGGAAAAAAGTGACCGATCTCTCAAAAAAGGAGACAGTTTTCTTTTGAAAAAGGAAGCAGATTTCTAATAAAATGAAGGTGGCATTTCAGAAAAGAAAGCATAAATCTGTGAAAAGAAGGCAGGCTATTGAGATAAACACTCAATTATCATTAAAGGAGACATGCCTCTCAAAAAAGGAGGCAGGCCTTTCAGAAAAAAACTAGACGTCTCCCAAAAGAAGGAAAATCTCTCAGAAAAGGAGGTAGGCCTAGCCTGATAACACATCTAAGTATTATTAAGTTTGGGACAGACAAAAACTGCTGATCATCATGACAGCTTACTCCACATACAACTGCTTGTAGAGTACTCACTGTAGCTAGAGGTCCCTCGTCTATGTTGCAGCCTGTCCAGGGGTTCCAGTTGGGTTGGGGCGGAGACCACGACACTACACCTGCGGGTTGAGGCTTGCTGGCTACAAAGTCATCCAATACTTGGTCCGACAACAGGGACTGCGGATCCTTACTGTCTTCCCTCTGCAATACATACAAGATTAGTTCAAGTTTGTTTTTGGTGATGGTGATTTTACAATATCTGACAAAGTAGCCTATAGTGGATTATTTGAATCTTATTCCAGTAGACTCCCTCTTATCCGGACATCAGTTTAACCGGACTACACTAGGCGAAAATGACATATCTTTAACCGGAAGATTTTTATCAGCACATCGGTTTAACCGGACTAGATCGGCAGGAAGTGTGCGGTACTGAAACGACTGTTCTCGTGGGAAAGATTTCAGACCAGTGATCACGTGTCTAAATACAATGCCCTCCTAAATTTAAGCCAAATACTACTGTATACAGTATGCATTTAAATAGTCAGATCAAACGAGTTTTTAGGGATGTCGGTTTAACCGGAAAAACTGTTATCCGGACTAGCCTCGGTCCCGAGGAGTCCGGATAAGAGGGAGTCTACTGTAGTGAAAAACAAATGTTCTCGACATGCCGGAATTTGGACCCCGTATTCAGGTGAGAGAATGTATATAACATTACAAAAATATTAGGACATAAACCCAGCAGAAATTTGGAAAACACAATGAAAATCACCAGCAGAGCAGTATAGCAGTCAAATACAAATCCTTAAAAACCATAAAAGTCCTTAAAACGGAAATCATAAAAAATTAACATCATTGGAGAAGTTTTCAACAAGTGGCCAAAGCGATGGCAACGAGACCCAGAAAAAGTGTTCTTGAAATAAACAACATAACACAGTGACGCAAATAGCTGCAACCAACACACTGCATTAACTCAAAGCAAGTCACATGAGAATTAGGAAATAGGTAAATAAATAACATAAATATGACAATCACTTGAATGTAAGTTTTTCTGTTGCTGCGGCTTAGAACTTATAGTTTAAATTATCAAGTAAAGAAGCAACTGATCTTAGTAAGGATACAAAAGTTCAGAATCACCCTCCTCAGACACAAATCCCTCAATACACCATCAATGTGTCTCCAAATAATGGTTATCAAAATACAGCAAGTTTTGGATGCACAAGTAACTTACTCGGGAAAAATTTTCTGCCAGTTAACAGCTCACAAAAAGTTCACAATACAATTGATTTGATTTTTCGGCCCCACAAGGGTAGAAGGAAGTATTAGTAAGAATTTTACTATTTCCTTCTAAACAAACCCCTTCGTAGGGGTGAAATATCAAATTAATCGTGATGTGAACTTTTGGCGTGATCTGCCTAGACCTCGTTTCTTGCGTAAGTCAGCTGTGTATCCTTAATATAAAACAATTAAGTACTTAAGTCTGGATTTCTTACGATCAGAATAGGATTTATCTTCAAGTCAGTCAGGACTTCAACAATCTGATTCTCCAGTTCAGGGTCGACCGCCACTTCGTAGGCAGGGATCTGTTCAGCCTCCTTGTTCTTCTTCAGTGTTCCGCTGAACGCTTCGATGACTCCCAGATGGAACAGTTGTCTGACTAAAGACAGGGCGCAAGACTTGGACGCAGACTGCTTGTTAGAACCTGCTTCTCGTGCGAACACCTCTACAACAAGACATGGTGTTTACTAGAGGTGTGCGAGCTTCAAATTAAGCTTCCAAAAAAAGCTGAAGATTTTCTGAGCCAAGCTTTATTTTCATGAAATTACCTTTTAATTAAAGTAATAAGTTAATCAGACCTAGTCAAAAACATTTAATAATACACTTTAGTGTTAAGATGTAGAGTGTAATATATTTTACAAAAAATTAGGGATGGACGAGATTGGATTTTTAGTTCGAGACGGGACGAGATTTTTTATTTCTCATAAAATTTCGAGACGAGATTTCTCTTCTCATACACAACGAGAAATGCTCATTCGAAATTTTTACCTGATTTTGTAACATGACTCTTTAAATACAAAAATAATGTTAATAGGCAAGAATATTTACAATCTTTTTTTAAATAACATCAGCATAAATTTTTTTTATTAATCACGCCTAACTTATTAAAAAGAAACATGGTGATATCAGTTAGGATAGAGTTCAACTTATCCTTAAATAAAATAAATCATAAAATAAAAACAATATTAATTTTTATAAAATAGTTACTTGTTTTGACTTTTTTTATAGTAATAAAACATTCCTCACACTGCTTACACTAAACAAAACTTCTCAAATGTTATTAAAGTAATATTATTAAAATAATTAAAGTAATATTTACATTGAAAGAATTAATTAAATAAGAACGCCTTCGCAAAGGAAACGCAACTACAACACGCTCCTGTATTGCGGGTATTGCATTGACTTTTTGCAGGCGTTTTTAAATTTTTTTTTTTTATTCTCGTCTCGATAAAAATCTTGGCCAAAAAAAATCTCGTCTCGTGTAACGAGATTGAAAATTTCCCAAAATTTCGAGACTTGACCATCCCTAAAAAAAATAAAAGGATGAAACAAGGAACTAAGTTTGAAATAAATTTCAACTCATTTCATTTTATTCAATAAGATTTTTTTTTTTGCCCCCCATAGATGAAGAATACAAGTGAATATTAAAATAACAAACAACTATTCCAACAATAAATTAAACAATTTATTGATTTTGTTATTTTTATTTGAAGTGAATGAATGAATGAATGAAAGTAAACTTACTATAGTGATAATGTTATTATTTGAAATGAAATATAGGATAGGTAAATAGTTTATGATAAAAATAAGAGAATATTTATTTTAGGAGGAAAAGTTAAATTTGCATTCCATTTTAAACGCCAGTAGGCCTACCTCAAATACTTGAGTTTAAACTAGCATGAGTTGAAACTCAGTTTAAAGATCACCGGATTTCGTTACCAGTATTAAATTTAGTAATAACATAAATCATAAATCTGTTGTATTTGTATTCATCACAATGCTGTTCTGACTATAATCCTTAATATGTGATCATTTTCATTATCATCATCACCTTAATATGTGATCATTTTCATTATCATCATCACCTAAGGTACATTGTAAGATACATTGTCTTCCGCAATCATGGTAAAATCCCTAATCTCCCGCGGTGAACAGAAAAGTCATCATCATCGTCGTCCGTGACTAGCGGCAATATCCTGAATATCTGTTCATGAAAACATCATCATCGGCGGCATGATCTTGAACAACTCTCGTGGTCATAGAGACATGATAATTGTCATTACCCGCAGTCGCGTGGTCATTATCATCGTCTTCAGCGGTCATGGAGACGTTATCATCGTTATTCGCCATATAGAATATCTCCTGCGGTAGTGTGGTCATCATCGTCTGCCGCGGTCAGAGAAACATTATATCATCATCCGCGATCACGTCACAACCCTGAATATTGGCCAAAAGCTGATAAATTAAGTGTAATTAATGCCGTGGTCGTACTATAGTAGGTATTAGTTTACTTGGTGGTTTGCTGAGGGATATAATGCACTAGTATAATATTTTAACCGGCCTCTTTTTTGCAACATCTATGGTACTCTTCTCTGGTAGCTCATTTCTCTTCTTTTAGTTTTTAGCTAGACAACAGTAAAATAATATATTCTGTTTAGTAAGTAAGTTTACTTACTTCTATTTAGCTGTTTTACGAAGAATCCCATTTCACAAATGAATGACCTGAAATTGTAAAATTATCAGATAAGTCAAAACAAAGTAGAAAGCATTTAAAGCACTTGAGCTAGACATAGCCCTAATATAAGATTTAATTTAACAACACGAAACATGCATGTGCTCAAAACTTTTATTTTATTTAAATATGGGCAGTTCATACAAATTTTTTTTTTAGCTACCCGTATTTTCATAAAATGTAGAAAGAACTTTAAAAACATTCCTAGTATGAGGATTTTCTCGATACATTTTTATTTAGAATAGTAAAATTAAATTCCATGCATCAAAATTTAATAAAAATAAAAATATTTCAATAACTATTGTCTCTAATAAGTATAGGAGATACTAGGAATTTCAAAAACTCAGTTTTCTCTACTTTTAGAACCAGAATTGTTACATTAACGGTGATATTATTTTGTTAGGACAAGTAGCCTATTTATGAACAAAAAAAATTAATCAAATAATATTAAAGCTTTAATTGAGTGATCATTGGTTTTTCTGAACTATGATTAATTGTGCGGGATCAACTGCCATTTAAAACCTTATTGCATATTATAAATAATAAAAATCGAGCCACTGCTGTGGTCTATATGCCCAGTTCCGTAAAATCCCACCTACCTACACACACACACACACACACATGTCTAATTCACCAAAGATATAGATGAAAACGTATAGAAAAAAAAGAGAAAGTAAACTAGAAAAACTAAAAACATATATTACATGTTTTAATCCATATTACTGAAAGGCAAAAACGATTACTTTAATCAATGTTACTGGACTTACCCTCACACCAAGATTTCCTCCAGTCTTAGGCAGCTTCACGCCTAAACAAGATGGCAGTGCAATACCAAAGATGTGTTTGCTTCTTAGAGTTTTGCATCCCTGAAGGTAATTTTCACAGGTGAAACAAAACAACAATCTAAGATCATCATCACAGCCCCAATCCAACTTGCAGCATTAGTTAAATAATGGACACGTGTTAATATTTTTAGGTTTTATATTAGAAATTTGTAATTGAGACTCACTAACCAATAGAGGAAATGAATCAGAATATATGTTTGCATGGGTAATTTCAATTAGTCAATGTTACCTCAAAAAACTTTACACAACTAATAAAATGGTTTAAGTATAGTAGACTCCCTCTTGTTCAGATTCATTTGGTTAAAGTTTGGACGACCATGCACTCAGTCACGTGCACTAACGACCAATTTCTATAGAAATGTTCAGTATGTTATTGTTATATTCCTTTGGTGATTGGTACATCACTGAGGTTTCCTAATTTCCCTTCCATAATGTGTTATATGAAAAATCCATTTATTTTTGTACTAATTGTGATGTGGAAAGCGAAAAGGGACCTCTTGTCAGAGATTTTCAAAAAATTGTCAGTATGTCCGATATAAGTAATTAAGGTCGAAAATATCGAATTTCGGGTTTTTATCGATTAATATACCTCATTTAACATAGAACATGACAGTATCAGTTAAAATCTAAAACTGAAGACGCAAAAGGTCGAAATAAATCATTTTGTTAGCCTCTGCACGGTCTGAGAAAAGGTACCTCTTGTCGCTCAATGTTATTTCACCATAACGACAAGAGGTCCCATTTCTAATATTCCCTTTTTTAACAGATTTTAGTCCAAAAAACGAATTGTCCTGCATTCTAGTGGAAATTTAGAGAACTGCAACAAAGTTCAGTTCACGACGAACAAAATATCTCCCGAATTTTGCGGTCCCGACAAGAGGTACCTTTTCTTTATGGTAAAATAACATAGCGCCGACAAGAGGTCCCTTTTCTGAAAGCGATTTTTACAACATGCTTCAATAAAACAATTATTCAAATTAAAACCATCGTGAGTTAAGAAATAAATTTGTATTTCTTTCAAAGAGGACATTATAAGCTTTCTTTTGATACCAAAATCGTTTCTTAAATACGAAAAAACACAATTTTTATGCGTATTTGAAATTTCAAAACAGTTTTTCTCAAAATGACCCTTTTCCATAACAAAATTTTAAAGTCCTATAACTTAAAAAAAAAAATCATACATGCGTGGGAATTGCACAAATCGATTTGGAATTTAATAAGGAACTCAAATATGTTTAGGCCTATAACTCAAAATCGAAAATTCCCGACACGAGGTCCCTATTCGCTTTCCACATCACAATTAATGGCTGAAACTTGTTTTTAGTTCACACAAGCTTCATTCAGTCTCAAATGCATCCGAACAAGAAGGAACTTACTGTTACAAACGTTTACTATTTTTATTACATTTTTTCAGGCATTAATTTATATGTTTATACCATACAAAGTTTTATGTCCATCACAAAACTGGCTGTAAGTCGGGCTGAAACTTTCCACAATTATTTTCACTATCATTCTGTGTACATTGTATATGGTATTGCACTGCCATTCTTGTCCAAGTGAAAACCAGCTGATTTTCTGCCAAGTCCACCAATGGTCAATAGTGTACACATGTTAATGGCCAAATATTTGACAGCTCGCTCAGGAGTGAATCATTGCTAACTATTTCACAAAGGTGGACTAAGCGTAAATGTTTTACCAAAATGTTTTCATTTAAAATTGAAAACCTCTTGGTATAAAATTGTCTTTCCAACTAATAATCATACTAAATAGAGACTTACATAACTAATATTTTACATCAAAACATACAGTAGAGACAGGAACAAATCATAAAAACCCATCACAAGACGGTGTTGAAATTCAATAAATAAAAAGTTTGACTTTGTCTCTTAAAAAATAATACTGAAACTTATTTAGATAACCCCTTTTAAATGTATTAGGCCTACACAAAATAATGTGTTATCATTGATATTTTTGAGGTTGATGTTATCATTGATATTTTTGTGATTTCCAACAATTTCGTAAAAACAAACCTACTCTAACTCCTTACTTGAAATTATCAGGCCCTACGGTTGTGTAGGCGTACTCGGACTTGATTTTATTGACGTTCATAAACTGGTGAAGTTTAGATTTTGCGTTTTCAACAGTCCAATTTCCATGAATGGCAGCATTCATGTCTACATCTTCGGCCTGAAAAGAAAATTATAATAAGCCTTCAAAGTCAATTTAGCAATTTAAACAGGCACATACCTTTCTACTGCATTAAACTCTACATTCTAGTAATTTTTTAATAATAAGCCTCAACAATTTCTTGGTTTAATTTAAACAACAAACTGCTAGCTCACCTTGTCTGTTACATAGGCACAAGAAAAATCATTAATCTCTTCTTAAATGATGAACCTTGTGACATTTTGAAACAATCTGCTTCCAGTTAAATACAGTGTAAAAATTAATAATAAAATAGGCTACCAACTACCAAAATCCCACTAAGACGAAGGTCTGGCAAACCTGAAACCCTGTTGGAGAAAAAAGGTCATTGGATTGAAATTAAAAACAAAGAAAACAATACCAAGCTAAGTGTCCAGTTGATCGAGAAACCGGGTATATTGTGCATCAATTCTGTAAGGAACCTTCAAATTTGGAATGATTTCACCAATGTCTGTCCTATGGCTTAGGACATTCATTGATTGCTTTCCTTTGCATCTATTTTCAGGATGTCTTTAAGCACGAACACGGTAGCAGGAGAGGATTAGGTATTTTCATTTTGTCGTAATCGCAGGCAAAATGTATATAGTCATAAAACTATGTTTTTTTTTTACACAATTTACTTCATTTTCAGAAAATCTGAACAATTAGGAAATCCAAAAAAGGCCAGGTCCTGATTATATCAAATTAGGACTCTATGGTGTATAATTAACCAATCAAAACACACCTCTTCAACTCGCTTCTGGTCAGCGATGATGTCATGGTAGGTCTGTGGTGTTTGGCCGTCCCGCTGCAGAGGGGTGTAGGCTGAGCCAATGGTGTTGGGTCCTTGGCCGGGTTGGAACACTGGCCTAGCGTTGAGGCCGAGCGCCATGTGAGGTGGGAGAGCACCGGGCAGCGAGGCGCTGGGAGTTTGACCATCCTGCATCCCTGCGCCAGCGCCATCTAAACTCTGTAACAGAGCCAGGGTTTGTTTACTTTATTTTTAAAAAATAGGTTAAGTTGAACAATATTTTTCAAATTTTATCTCCAACATAACACTTCACAAATATATATATATATATATTTTTGCATACCACAATTAGGAATATATATGGAATATTAATATTATAATAACCTAACTCATTTTCCAACTATAACCATGAACATTTTTTTTTTAATAAGGTTGTATTTTTGCAGTTGATGAATACCTAAAAGAAGGACTGAGCACTGAGCTCAACAATTTTCATTTTGCCCATTTTAGGAGTTTGAGTGCTATTATTTCAAGTTGGTTATTACCCAGTACCTTAAACAATTTGTTATCGTTCCAACCTTACGTTGGACTAAACATAGCTGATGTGCTGTCAGTAGCCTAGACAATCCTGACATAATATTTGAGCTAAGAACCTCTCCAATGGTTGGGAAACACTTCTGTAGACCAATGTGATAGCAAGGGGCCATTAGGTAAAAATGTTGATCGTTCTTCACGAAGGAGAAGAAGGTAAGGTTAGTTTGGACGTATGTTTTAGTTAATTCGTTGTAACATGTTTGTTTTCATTTCAATATCTTTATTCAATGATCGCACATTCTACGAGGCATGTTTTTTTAGCGAGTAGGCTACCGTTTTTTCACACCGTGGCCATAGCACTGTGGTTGGCATTCTTGGCATGCACACTGAGTCCGACATCAGTAGCCTACGCACTGACACAATTACAATCTGATTCTTCATTGTTGATGTTATGTACTTATTGTTAAGTATGCCTCCAATAATCGTGAGTCCCGCCGACGGTGAAGTGCAGGCTGTTATATGGTTTCTTATTGCTAAAGGCCTAAAAGCGATCCATGTTCATCGTGAGATCGGTGCAGTTTACGAAGAAAACATTACAGTATGAGTGATGGAATGGCAAGAAAGTGGGTGAGAGCTTTTAAAGATGGCCGCACAAATGTACATGATGAACAACCAAGTGTACGCCCTTCGGTCATTAATGAGAGTTTGGTGCAGGAATTGAACAATCAGGTGAGGGAAAACAGACGTTAAATGATTTCGTCCTTGCAGTATGACTTTTCTAATGTTTCTCTTACTGTAGTGTTTTGTATAGCATTGTGACCGAGCACTTGATTTAGGCCTACTGAAAATTGTGCGCACGTTGGGTACCGAAAATATTGACAGATGTGCACAATTGATTTTCTAACCATTGATGGTTATTTCATAGCTTTAAGTGGAAAGATAAAGGTTTTATGTTTGTTTGAAATTGTAATTTTTTTTATAAACACCCTGTATTATTAGGCCTAGGTATTACAAAAACTAATTGTTTTCAACAGTTTGATTTGAAATAATACTTTAGATATTAGGATACTTAAGAATACAAGTTATACATGATGATAGAGAAATTAATACTTACATCTTTTGGAACCTCATTTTCATTCACGACCCCAGTTCGAACTAAATACTGTACAAAATCTTTAGCAGCATTTTTCTCCGCATCTTTTTTGGTGCTGGAATTTCCTGCACCGACATATGCATATCCTTCCACTCTACATTCACACAGGAATCTTTGTCTGTTCTTCGGTCCTGCAAAGTTGGATTGAGGTTAGTTTATATGGTATACTTGTAATACCAGTAACTTCTTATGAGGTATGGAGGAAAGGTCGTATTAGGCTGGTTTAGGAACACATTTAAATTGACGTTTGATCTAGAGTTCTAAAAAATCTAAGAATTTTTACATGAGCGTTTGTGTCTTTGGACTGAAACTTACAAAAGACATCCAAGTTATGGAAATGTTTTTGCTCATAATAACCTTGAAATCTTAAGTAGGTAGAGTACCCTCTAGTCTCGGACATAGACATAGACATAGACTTTATTTGCACAAAACATTCCATACATGTCATAACATTTAGAATAGGTGCATTGTCAAAATTAAATCCATACATAAAATATTTAACATTAAAACTTTTAACTTAAAATTAAACACTTAAAAATTTCTAAATTGTAGTTCTGTAAAAATCTTCAATTAAGTAAAAAGCCTTGTCAATAAGAAAATTATCTATTGTATCTTTAAATTTGGTTTTGCTTAATGACTTATAGCATGGCGGAAGCACATTGTACAATCTCAGCCCAGCGTACAATGGAGATTTTTCATATAGGGTCAAACGGTGACTGGGGAGTCTAAATATATTTTCATTTCGGGTTTCATACCTGTGATTAAAATGTATTGTTTCTGGTAGCTCATTTTTAACTGAATGTATGTAATTTAATAATTCTAGAATATACAACCCCGTTAATGTATGAATTCTTAAATTTTGAAAATGTTTCTTACAAGAACTGCGTGGATGAGAGTTGGTAATAATACGAATAATACGTTTTTGTAACCTGAATAAAGTTTTAATACCAGTAGCTTGACCCCATAAAATTATGCCATATCTTAACACTGACTCCACATAAGCATGATAAACTACTTTAAGTGTCTCAATAGAAACACAGTCCCTTAAATGTATGAATAAAGATGATATCGACCTAATTTTGTTACGTAAATAATTCAAATGTGAGTCCCATTTAACTGCGTCATCTACGTAAACCCCTAAGAATTTATGAGCTTCAACTAAATTAAAGGAACAGTTTTCCATATTTTTGTGTCTAGTAGAAAATTTAATAATATTTGTTTTTTCAACATTAAGTTTTAACCCATTTTCTAAAAACCATTGCTCCATGTCCTTTACCACACTTTGCAGAGAAGAAAACATTTCAGCTGTATTATTATTTTTGATCAAAGCAGTAGTGTCATCGGCAAAAAGAATTAGTTCTTTATTAATAGCTTTTGGAAGATCATTAATGTAAATAAGAAAAAAAAGTGGGCCCAATACTGAGCCTTGGGGAACACCTGTGGATATAATTTCCCATGGTGAATAATGTTTGTTGTTATCTTCTAAAATTAAAGTTCTTTGTTTTCTTTCAGAAAGGTAAGATTGTATTAAAGAAAAGCAACTTCCCCCAATCCCATAATCAATAACTTTTAGCAACAGGAGTGAGTGATCCACACAATCAAAAGCCTTAGACAGGTCACAGAAAACACCTGCTGTGGCCTGAGACCTGTCCAAGGCCTCTGCAATCTCATTAACAAACTGAGTAAGAGCAGAAACTGTGCTTAAGTTTTTTTGGAAACCAAATTGTTTATTGTAAAATAAATTATTACTTTCAAAATAATTAACTAGTCTATAGCTTATTACTTTTTCAAATATTTTAGAAAAATTACTTAATACTGATACTGGACGGTAGTTATTAATATCTGATTTTGAACCTTTCTTAAAAACGGGAGAAATTTGGGAGTACTTGAGTTGATCCGGAAAAATACCATTCTCTAAACACTGATTTATAATAAGAGATAAGGGTTCGGAGATAATGTCAGCAGCAGATTTGATCAATTTAATTGGGATTTCGTCCCAGCCTACTGAAATTTTGTTCTTTAGAGAAAGGATGATCTTTTTTATTTCATCTTTATTAGTGGGGCTAAGATTGCACAATGTAACCCCACCATCACTGCAGTATGATTTTACAGACGAATGAACACCATTGACAGAAGCCTTTTTTACATTCAGATTAATAACTGTATTACAGAAAAAACTGTTAAAAAGCTTAGCTACATCATCAGGATTATCAACAGTGGTTTGGTTTGTATCATCTTTTAAAATAATTTTGAATCTCTGAGTACGGTTTAAACCCAGTTCATTGTTAACAATTTGCCAAGCTGCCTTAGACTTGTTTTCAGATTTTCTAATTAGGTTATTATTTGAGAGAATTTTTGAATTTTTTACAACTTTATTAAATATTTTTTTGTATTGCTTTACATAGGATAAAAACTCTTGGTTTCTACTAAACTTGGCTTGCAAGTGCAATTCTCGTTTCCTCTTACTGGAAATTCTTATGCCTTGGGTCACCCAATTCAGAGTAGATTTATTAGTTTTAGCATTCTTTTTTAGTGATTTAACAGGAAATATATGATTGAAAGATAATAAAAAATTTCTCAAAAAACTATTGTAATTTTCATTGGGGTTTAAAGCAGGGTTAAATACAAAATTATTATTAGTGCTCTGTAGATATTTGCAAAATTCATCTGTATTTCTATCAGAGATGATTTTTTTCTTAAAAGAACTAGAAGTATTCTTGATGGTTTTACACTTGGCTAGCTTAGGGAGGTTTATAAATATAGCATTGTGATCAGAAAGACCTAACTCAGTGTTTAACCTGTAATGGCAACTAAACGTTTTGGGTGTGATAAAATTATCCAAACAAGTAAATGAAGTATTTGTTATTCTAGTTGGCTCCTCAAATTGAAAACAAAAACCATTACATTCGACAATTTCTTTAAATCTACTTGTGAATGTGTCATTCGTTAAAATGTCTATGTTAAAATCTCCAGTTACAAAAACAGTATTTTTTTTTGAATTTTTTCTGTATTATCAAAAAGAGAATTTCAAGTCTATCTAAAAACTGTTTACTTATGTTGAAATTTGGTACTGTATAAATAGAAATTAAAATTAAATTAAAATCCACAAGTTCAATAGCAGAACATTCAAAAATAAAGTCTTCATTTAAATTGGAAAACTGTGTTATTGTTACATATTTACAGTTCTTATCCACTAATATGCAGGATCCGCCCCTACAGCCACTTTCTTTCATATAAGAACTAGCCAATTTAAAATTATTTATTGTATTTAACAGAGAGGCTGAATTATGATCTAACCAATGTTCATTAAAAGATATAGCTTTAATATTCAAATTGGCCTCAGATAAAAATAAATTGAGAGCTGAAATTTTTGTTAAATTTAACCCTTGACAATTGTAATGCATTATTAAATCACAGTTAGTTGAATAAAAAGATTGATTACATAAACCTTTTAGTTCGTTATTTTGAGCCAGTGAATGTGTTTTGTGCAAAGAATTATCTAAGTTACTTAATTTAGCAGGTACAAGGTCATTGTCAGAATGAATCAGTTTAAAATTAAAGGAGAACTATCATCTAAACAGGAATCTAACTCTAACACTGATGGATCACCCTCAACACTTGACACCACACATTTGCTCTGCTTTTTCACAACACTCGATGGTTTTGACTTAACAACTTCGTTATAGCTGAGACCGCTATCCGTAGTCTTGGTCATAAGTCTGACCAAGACTACGGTAATACCAATTATAAGGTACCTTTAAGTGTACAATCAACAAAGTTTCAATGGTCAAACTCACTACGTGTTTTGCCTATTCAGGCATTTTCAAGTGATCTTTGAAATATGTTTCTTCCATGGAATTAGAAGACTCGTTAAGAATATATTCAAATAAATACAAAACAACACAACGCAAAAAAAAGTGTAATCATTTAAGTACTGTAGGCCTACTATTAACCAATAGTGGTATGGAGGCAGAATACCGGTACCTTATTGTAGGCCTAGTCTAATAAAACAGTTCAAGGGCTACAAAATTAATTTTAATACTACGGTAATAGACATAGGCTACTTCTCCATAGAAAAGACTTAAAATAGGCTAACATTATTTATTTAAACAAAACAAATTACTTTTTTACTCTTTACCTGTTGATCTGCATTCAAAAGTAGGAACAACACTCTTCTTTGTACACCATTGGTGAAAAAATGCCTTGACGTTGCTCATTTCTATCAGTACTAAACACTTGCTTTTTAGACGTAACTAACAGTATCTGCAACAATTAATAATATAGATAATCAAAAAAGGAACAATTAATATGTAAAAATAAGTAGGTAACTAAAAAAAAGACACCCACTAGGACAAATTCTGTTAGGCCTAGATGTCTACCAATCTAAAACTACTGTATTTGCATTGGAATTTGGAAAGCAATAATGTTAGTAATTATAGAATTAAGACAATAAGGTCAAGTGGGATATGTGTTCGACCGGAACAAGTGGACTTCCAGCTAATAATAAATTTGTTTATTAACAAAAAATATGAAAACTTGGCCAAAGGTATTTCAAACTATGCCCTTTTAAATTATAATCATTTCTATAAATTGAGTTTAGACGTGTTTAAGAACCTCTTACGTTCTCAAAACACAAGTGCACACTCGGAAATTTCAAAAATTACTAAAAATTGGAATACAAGGATAACTAACTGAAATTTGGTGATCTCACTTATTTTTTGAGGGAGAATTCAAAAATAACATTTTTAAACCCCTAAAAGTCAATTGTGGGGAGTTGGGGGGGGGGGGGGGGTGTACACTTACCCTGTGTGAAAAATCTAAAATCATATCTTGACAAAACATGGGTTGATAACAACTTAACATTTGGAAAATGCCTGATCAGGGACAATGTCTCCGGGGTCCTCACAAACACCAGCTCATCAAACCTAATAGATTTATTGTGGTTAGTGCCGGTTCAGAAGATGGTTTTGTGCATGATGCGACACTAATATTTAGAGCCGGTAGAGCAACTGGAGATTATCATGGCCAGATGAATGGAGTAAATTTTGAAAAGAGGATCGATGAAAAACTTAGGCTATAAGCCTCTCTAGGCCCTAATAAAAGTGTTATTATTGTGCTAGACAATATCCTTTACCACTGCTTAAAGTAAACAAGCCACAATCCAAATACACAGTCAAAAAAGAAATGATTAATTGACTAACTGACAAAAAATAAGAACCCTTGCTCGCCGGAGATAAAGAAATTTGAGTTGTGGGAGTTGATTAATCGGCATTTAAGCCTCCTGAAAACATGTATCATACAGATAGATAAAATTCTTAAATCACTTTCATGGTCAAATCATGATTCGATTGGACCAAGATGAAACGGAAAATTAAGGGGGGAAATATTATGGGTGACCTGTCACTGACAAACAATAGATTGGGAGGGGTTTACCAGTCACACCCTCAAAATAGAGAACAATATTAGGCCTTACTGGATAAGAGGTAGCATAATGGAGGACGCTGTGGACCGTTTTGTTATTGAACTTGGAGGTGTGGATTCAAAAGCAGAAGAAAGTGAATGTGAAGATTCGAACACTGATTCAAAATCAGACTTCTTACCTTGCAACTCAAAATGTACAATGCCGGTGTGTCCAACATTGTTTTGTATGAAAATGCACTGAATCACATAAAAATGAAACTTTATTCAACTTGAAAATAATAACATGATTTGCTTGTAAAAACTGTAGGCCTAAATATAGGTAACTAACATTGACTAGCAGTTAGTTCCTGCCCACCAAATCTGTTCGGGGAGCGAAACTTCTAACCTCCCTCCAGCTGAATTTTTTTGGGAAACACCATTACCGCAACGATACGACTTGATGACATCGGCCGCGGTGGTATAGTGGATACAGTACCAGGCTGATGAACTGAAGGAGCCGGGTTCGAATCTCACCCGCGGCACTATTTTTTTTGTCTCAGATTTTTTCATTCAGCAAGTTTGGTTGGTTTGGTTAGGTTATGACAGTTTGATTTTATATTTAAAACATTATAAAATTGAATTTAAGCCATTTATAGTTGTTTTATTTTATGAACAGAACTAATTTTTTTTATTAACCCTCCGAGTGTCCATAGTTTAGGCCTTAATGTCCACCTATTTTTGGCGCATTTGCAAGGTTTTATTAAAACGGATCTGAAAAGCTTAAAACAATGTTAATTCTACTGTTCTATATACCATTTTGTTTGGAAAATCATGGGCTTCAATATCATACATAAAACCTAAGGAATATTTGTTTCCAAAAAAATTTTTTAGGTAAAAATAAAAATTATTTTGGAAAAATTGAAAAAAAAAATAAGTTTGAACTCAATGAAATTGTATAAATTATAGGCCTATAAATATTTGAAAATAGCCACTTTGTTCTAAATTTTACGAGGATTGCAAATATATAATAATATAAGGAAGTAGATTTGCAAATAAATAAGTTATGGGCAAAAAACTGATTTCAGTACATAGCGTTTAGCTAAGAATGCATAGCCTAACCATAGCTAGGAATCTGGCTGATAATTTACATCAATATCACTACCTACTTCTTCAGGATCATCAACCAGCCCTTCAAAATCACTTAAATCTTCTTATAATGCACCACGTATATCACTACTTTTGATTTTTACCACTAAAACAATGATAAACATAATAAAACACATCAGTCATCGGTCCGAGGTTAACTAACCTCAACCTGTTTACAAATACGCACGTCAGCTGTCTGCTACAATTAAGATCGGCTCGGAGAACATAAAGCGCTTAGAGACAGACCTCTGGAGAAAGCTTAGAATATAACGAAAAGAACGATACCTAACTCGATCCAGTTCAATCCGATTTTGTCAGTCATAGAGCCTTCGCCGTAAACAGTGTTCGTGAGTCGCTGCAGCGACGCATGACACTACACAAAGTGTGTTACACGTCGCTGCAGCGACGCATGACACTCGGAGGGTTAAACCTTCATTAGATTTTTCATTATCAGCAAGTTTGGTTAAGTTTAATTTTATAATAAAAAAATTGAATTTGAGGCATTTATAATTTTATTTTATGAACAGAACTATTTTTTCGATTAATAAACCTCCTTACAGAAAGAAGAAGCAGAGGAAAAACATAGGCCTAGTGTCTTTGCGATTATCATAGGCCAGTACAAACTAACATTGACCCTACTGTTTTTGTTTTTATTTTGATAAAACAAAACATTTTACTTAATTATTATCACAATCATGTGTTACTTTAATACAGTTGGTTACGAGATTGAATAGGCCTATGTCGCCCCATTGGGTACTTGAGTATTAAACGGAGGCCACCTAACCTACAGAAATATTTCGTACTTATTTTACAGTGCGCTGCGGCGGTTATGTTAGGTTGGGTTATCATAAATATGTTTGTAGGACCTCCTCGTTTCGTTATGAATCGATCGATACCAACAACAACAAATATAAACAAATTATGATAACCCAACCTAACATAACCGCCGCAGCGCGCTGTATGAAGGCCTCCGTATAATACCTAAGTACCCCCCATTGTAACATACGGTTAACTGATATCCTTCACTTACTATTAAAGATACTTTAATAAGAGTATCCTTAAGATTATCTCTTTCATTATCATTGCTTATTTATGTAAGCAAGTTTAAGTTACCGGTAACTAATTATTCGTAATTCAATAAATTTTAGTTTTCTGTTATGTATTGATAGATAGGTAGGCCTACTATTAAAAGTGTTTAATTTGTAAGTTAAGTATATTTTTGTCTAATAAGGTGACAAAAATATTACCGTACAAGTTAACCTAATGGAAATTGAGTCATTATAAAACTTACAAATATTTTGTAATTAGGCCTAAGTATAGGTTAACTTATGGTTAGGCCTATTTAAATTTACAATTGTAGCCTAATCACACTCCCTATAGCTGACCAACAGGCATCGTGTGTTGGTGTTACGTCTGCCGCTGTAAAATCTAGGAGAAGAAGTAAGTTACTTAGTGTAGACAACATTTTTAGGGTGACTAGGCCTAATTGGAAGACCGCCAAGCGCCGCGCTGTGGTAGGGGCCCCTCCTGACCGCGGAGGGAGCACACACAAACAAGTCGTGCGCCTATGTTGTTCAGCTCAGAGGCAAGTGGGAGGGTTGATGGTAGCAGGCCTTGACGGTTGCAGATCTTGCAGAAAGAAGCGCTAGAGAGTTTGATGCCGGCCAACCTGGGTAGGCTATGATTCCCTGGTAGGCCTAAGTTATAAGTTAAGATAGGCTAAGTTGAGCCTAGATAGCCTAGGGCCTATAGCCTAATTATAGGCCTAAGTTAGAATAAGGTGCCTCGCACATTGTTCTAATTTTGATATCTCATTTTGGAGTTTTTTACCTCCATAACTTAATCCAAATAGTCCTACACCATATTTTTTTAAACGCAAATGAAAATTACCATAGACCTTAGGCCTTTCCTCATTCCTAGGCTACCTAGCCTATTTCAAATTAGGCTACCCTAATTTGAAATTAGGAGGCCTAGGTAACTGAACATAAAACACTAAATCGGTTATCTACTTTACATAAGAACGTCAATTCAACGTGATAACTAGTAAGCCTAGGCCTATGTTCCAGATTCCAACCGGGAACTTTAGTTATCACTTACCGGTACGAGACACAAACTAAAGAATTGGCCTAGGCCTACTGACTTGAGTAATTGGACTAATCTGACCAATTCATTCTATATAAATGCCTTGAAATTATTCACTCACCATCTGCAGTCAATAGCAGTGTTCGCTTGGCCACATTATTACTAATTTTAATCGCAAATTACCATTCAATCAAAAGGCCAAGTCCCCCAAGCCGGAAGCCCAACGCCCATCTGATTGTGAAGTGATTGGAAGTGAAGTGAAGTGAAGTTGAAGTTAAGTTAAGTCAAGTCCAAGTCAATAAGAATAAGTTAGTCAGTCTCACTCCCAGTTCCCAGTCCCAGTCAGTCCAGTGAGTCAGTCGAGTCCAAGTCTAGCTCTTGCTCCTGATTTTGATTGGTTTGGGTTTGTTTTGTTTAGATCAGGTGAAGTGTGTTGTGAGTGTGTGAGTGAACAGTGAAGTGTCAGGTGCTCTGTTCTCTGATCTCATTCTTTCAAATAAAAACATTTTTTTGTATTTTATTTTGTCAAAAGATGAGATGTTATCGTTATCTACTTTTAGCTTGAATTCACTTTAACTTAAGTGTTTAGGATGTGATAATTTAGTTACAAGGCACATTCATAAAATTGTTTTACTCATTCTGTGGTTAAGTGTGTAAATTAAATACACTTGAGTTGGAAATGGGAAACAAACAATCTGGTAGGAAGGCAAATAGGTCAGAAGGCTCTCTCCATCCTCAAGAAAAAAAGAGATTAACTATTTTTTTAGATGAAAGAAAAGGCTCTGCTAAATTCACTTTCCTTGAAATAAAGGTAGGCATAGGCTTACGCTGTTTCATATCTAACTTAGGCCTAATATCTAGCCTGGCTGCACTTCGTTTATGTCCTACACTACTTAATTCAAATGAAAAATATTGATAGGCCCTGGTTTGGTTAGTTAAGTAGGTTAACCTAATCTAACCATCCGAATGAAATAACCTATATATTAATATTTTTCATTCGTATGATTGTAGGACGTAAACTAAAGTGCAACCTCTAGCCTTAGACTGACTAGTGAACTTAGACGACCAGCTACTCGTAGGCTATCGCTAAGTTATCATCTGTAAATAATTTTTATAAGTTAGTAATGTAGGCTATAGGTAGCTTAAGTTATAGCCTAGCTGTAAATGAGTGAAAATTTAAAAACGTACGTTTTCAGGAAAAGCACTTTGCAAATTCTTTTCCCCTTTTTTCAAAACTTTTATTATTATTTTTATTTCATTAACATTTGAAGTTTCATAAAATGTCCATGGTAACGCAATATCTTTGGTAGTTTATTTTTAAAAGAGCATCTTTAAAAGTGGAAAAACACAAAATCCTGTCACGACCATAACGGACGTTTAAATTAATAGTAAAAATAGTTAATATTATTTTTATTATGTTTTGCTATAAACTTATTTACTTTTATGACTTTTATGATTATACAATAAAAAGGTCACTGAGCTTTTGGTATAGGCTATTTGGTCTTTCTAGAAAAAAATAAAAAAACTCAAAAAATTGAAAAAAAGCCAATAAAATCTTTTTAAGTTTGTATAAATCCGAAAAAACTTACTTGAGACCCGAAAAATTGTTATAATTGTATAGAGGTGTGCTTCTTTTGTGTATAAAACATTGAAATATGACGATATTTTAATTTTTGAAATTTTTATGATAGAAATCATAAACGTGATGGTCAGGGACAAGTGGTACGGTCGTGAATTGTCTGGAATAATCTAAATCTTTCTAAACAATCCTTCAATTATCCTGTTAGTTATAATAAAAATGTGTTTCAATTGAACTTAAACTGTTCAATTTACAATTATATTAAAGTTATTGTCACGACCAAACACACTATAATCCATAAGGCTGGATTGGTCGTGAAAAAACCCTCGATGGTCGTGAAATTACGTGTTATTTGGCTCTGTTCTGGCGGTAGCCCTGCACCTCATGTTCGAGGATACAAAGTGGACTTCTAGGCTAATCTAGCAATTAAAATATCTTATAAACAAAAATTAACACCATGTCTACTTCATTGAATGACTACGTACGGTCATGGACACACCAAAATTACTAAAAACACAATCTTTCCTTTATTAATCTTGTAATTCCTCCTTCAACTCGAAACGACCGGCACTACAATCCTGACATACACCCCGAACTAGTCTCTAAAACCAACTGACTCCATCGACGCCAGGCTTGCCACTGTCGTGCTCCAAAGTTGAAAATTTTTCCCAAATGGTCGTGACACCAAATCGAGGGACAGACTTATTTTGTCATGGTAGTCAGTGTTTAATGACAATAAAATTATAATATGCTCCTTTTTTGTAAGTTTAATAACCATTGATGACATAAAAATATGGCTTTATATATTTCGGCATGAATAATTAGTCTAAAAACAGCGTGAAAGTTGGAAAATGCACCCTAGGGACACGTCATGGTCGTGAATTTTGAGACTTTAAAAAACGAAAAAAATACCTAGAACCGTCTATTTAAAACCAAATAAATGTGTGTAACATGTTGCCCCCGTCCCAAAAAATATTAAAACACATAATAATAAACTACAAATCCACCTATCTACGAAGTAAAAGGCCAGGGACATGAAAATGTACGTTTTTAAATTTTCACTCAAATAAACAAATAAATCATTAATAATTGGTGTGAAACTAGCAATAACTCAGAAATAAGTAGTGTGTGCGCTTGTTAAAATCTATTGCTGGCTGGTTTGCGGGAAAATACGGCCGAGTACATTAATACCAATAATGTCACGAGATAGAGGCAGGGGTGCACAAACCCACGGCAGAGGCGCAATCCCTAGACCCAAAGCCAAATATTCTGATCCTACTGATGAACAACTTGAGGGATTACAGTAAGAGAGAGGAGGTGCATGATTACCATACTAGGAAGGCCCAAAACATCGACGTTCCCCGCTGCCGTCTCAGTCGTACCTTGAGTTGCTATCCCCGTTCAGCGATTAGAATATACAATACTCTGCCTACCCAGATACGGGAGATGGATGTCCCCTCCTTCAAGAGGGCACTAAAAGAGATATTTGTGATTAGACCGCTCCACTCCCTTAAAGAATTTGAGGATGAGCCCCTTGCAAGATAGTGTATGTCCGCCTGGCCATCCAATAGACGGCCAAGTTTTTTTATAGTAGCCTATTTTTATGGTTTTGTAAATATTGTAGGCTATAGGCCTATAGTTTTATTTTATTATATTATAAATCATGATGCAATCTATCAGACTAAATCTGTCAAAGATACAGGATTCAAGTATCAAGTAAGTATCAAAGGAGTCTAGGTCTAGTCCCCCCCCCCCCAATTTATGCTGCTGTTTATTTAAACCTATCCCCCCTCCACCAATTTATCTGACAATTTCTTCTTTACCTCATAAAACACGCATTTCAAGTAGGGTATTTATTAAACTTGAGGTAAAGAAAAACAAACTTGCTGATAATCCAAATTAAATGTTTAGTAGGAAACGTAATTTAACAAAAGGCCTACCGTACATCATTCCTACCTAACTAATGGACAAATTAGAAGTTCGCAAACCCACCACAGTACCTCCCCTCTGGGCACCCCTGGATATAGGACACTTTAAGTTAACGCACACGACAGAATATCTAGGTCATATATACCTGGCGAAAAAAATTGGTCATACAAAAGGGGCATAAAATCATCAATAAGTAGTGTGCACGCTTGATGAAATCTATTTCTGGCCGTTTTGGGGAAAAATAAGGCCGCCTAAGTTACATTTATACCAATAATGTCACGAAATAGAGAATGTCACTCTTTAATGCACACGACAGTATCAAGGTCATATACCTGGCGAATAAGTTGGTCATACTAAAGGGGCATAAAATGAACAACCAGTCAATTGTGTTATTAAGTATATTAAAAAACTTACCACATTTTGTTTCTGTAGGCCTATAGGGTATTATTGAGCCCACGATATGGCCAAAAATCTGTGTTTTTTTCTGTACAGTAACTAAGAATATCACATGAGATGAACCTGACAATAATCTAAAACAGTAACATGTAATATTATGAGATTGTTGTTCATTTAGGATTACCCAGGGAACATGGGCAAAACAGTTTGTGTGCCCCATGACACTACACAAGAAGAACCACTTTTTGTTAGAGACTTTAGTAGATGCGACTGCTCAAGGATTTTTATGCATCTCAGTTAATCACTTGGTACGGTGTACTATGTACCCGAGGACGTCAATGAACACTTCGACCAGTTCCTACAGTTGGTGCGTCACGTTGTTCTAGAGAATACTCTCCCCAACTCACTTCCCACTCTGGTTTACCCCTGAGTTGAGGCGACTGGTCATCAAGGAGAAAATAATCCATTCCCAATACAAGTCCACCCTTCGCACCTCGGATTATGTAGGCTCAAGTTTTCTATGGCTCGTTCCCAGTGTAAGATCCTTACAAAACAATGTTACGATAACTATATCAATCATGTGAACTCAGCCATCACTTCAAACCCAAAATCATTCTGAGGCTTTATTAAGAGCATGACGTCATCCTCCGCCAATAAACCTTCACTTACATACAATGGTCATTCATCACAGTCGCCTTCTGAAATATGTAACTTGTCAGCTTCCTTCCTTTTCGACTTCTCATTATTTTTATAATGTTGATTGATGTTGGTTTGAAGTCAAAAAATTTGGTACAAAAGTTTTATAGGTTTATTACTATGAATTTTTTTCTTCCCAAAATCGCTAAAATATAAAAACATCTTTTGAATTACCTACAAATAAATTTTTTTTACCATAATCATTATGACTTTTGGATTCCTTACTGCATTAGCTTTACAAATATGTATAATACATTATTATTATTACGGTACATACAGGGTGGTAAAAAAGTCCCTGGACAGTTGAATATTTTAAAAAATAATGCAGATAGAGCAAATAAAAGGTCTTTTTTTTTGTAGAATACAATGCCGCAAACCGCACTTCAAAAGGTTGATCCTGCGTAAAATGACAGTTGTTCAAAGATTCATTTAATTTACATTGCTATTATACGCTTACTCCTCAGGGGCACAGCCCTAAGAATCGGAAGAAAATTGTTAACGTAAGCATAGGTCGATATGCACATCAAATTAAAGGTCTTCACTAGTAGATTACGATGCCGTAAATTCAAGCTCAAAAGAATGCCTGAGTAAAAAATGGCAGTCGTTCAAAGATTCAAAATGGCGTATTCAAGAAATCTTTGAACATCTGCCATTTTGCGCAGGATCAACCTTTTGAAGTGCGGTTTGCGGCATTGTATTCTACAAAAAAAGACCTTAAATTTAATGTGCATATTGACCTATGCTTCCGTTTAAGATTTTCTTCTGACTCCTTGTGGGCCGTCCCCCTGAAGGGTTATTGGATCACTGAATATGTGTTAAAATAGAGTTTTATGCCCTGTAACTTTGTACCAAGTATTATAGCTCTATCTGCATTATTTTTTAAAATATTCAACTGTCCAGGGACTTTTTTACCACCCTGTATATTAGCCTACATCGCTTTTTTACAACACAAAGTAACACTGTACCTACGTTTTTCAATTTTGTCGGTTTTCTGTTTGTTATTATACTACGCCCAAAAAACTTACAAAAGAAAAAAACTAATTTCCTAACATGTTATATACCCTACCTATTTCTATGAGGGAATTAGATTTTCTACAAAATGTATATGAATTTCCCATAAAAAATCTTTAGAACAAATTTTACCCAGGCTACTTTTGAAATGTCAAAAAAACATTCTAATTGTTTTTTATTCTTTATTCACTTTGTCAAAAAAACGTTCTAAATCATTATTTAATTATATAGGCCTACTATTTCTAGAACCTACTGTTCTTTCCGAACGAAAGGAATATGAGGTTGGCTAAGTTTACTCCTACGGTTGAATTTTTATGAATTTTGAAAAAAAGGTCTGCAAAATTGCCAAAATATGTTGGCTATTCCTCACTTCTAACACCGGCCACTGCTAGGGTTAGACAATAAGTTAAGCCTAGTTACAACCTACTTGTTTAAGTTAGGTGTAAGTTAATACTGTCTTACTTAAGATTAAAATCATGATTGCTCGTGAGTAGGCTACGAGTTTATGAATAAGATAAGTTATCCATTTAATTGCTATTTATATTTCAGAGGCTCTGGAGTGATTTTTTGACGCCCAGCCTACTGGAATCTTATGCAAACTTCCTTCTGAAATCTACTGATGGGCGAAGGGACGAAATTGACCTTGATGATTTTATCAGTATTTATGTAAAAATAATTAGAGGATCATCCAATGAAAAGGCTAAATGCATTGCAACTATTCTGGGGACCCAGACAAATCAAGAAGGCGTAGAAATCATCTCCTATCAGAGCTTGTGCAAGGTAAGAGTTAACATGATTTTAAAGACAGTTCCGCAGAGAACCTGTGATCTATTACCAGGTTAGATAGGCCCTATTGATATTATAGATTTTGATTCAGTACAATATAAATGTCAGCCTTGGCGTAAGTCATTGAATTTAATTTCACCATGATATAAATATAAACAAAAACTAAAATATTAATAAAGTTGATTGTTTTTTTTTATCCGTAATTATATCCCAAATCACCTTACCTAAGTTAGTTCAACTAAAAATGTAATGTTAAACATTGATAGGTAAGTTAGTTTTATTTAAACTAAGTTATTAAGCATCAATAAAAACTTAATAGATCATTAAACTTACTAAATTTGATGTTTACATTTTATTAAATATCAATAAAAACATAAGCAGGTCATAACTTACTGGTAATTCAATCTTTATAAGCCTGCACAAAAACAAAATGTCTAGAACAGATAAATCAAACTGAATCAAAACCAATATATAGGCCTATTTATCTATATTTAATTCGGTAATATATCGCAGGTTCTCTCCGAAATGTAGCCGACCGTCCTTTTAGTCTGCTGTGTATCTGATCAAAATATTTTTAAGGTTTAGGCATTACTTAGTTGCATTTTTTTACTTTGCTGTTTGCAAGAGTAAGTCAGCCTAAATTGATTGAAAAAATATTATATATGTTGCAGTATTTGAGTGATCTTCTAAAATCATACTTTTTTGGACTGAAGTCACGCAAGGATGATTGTTACACTAGCTGGAACTGTGACGAACCTCGAGAAAATGTCATAGAAGAAGTTATTAGAGGAGTTTGTAATGATTTACAACGTACTGATGATGAAGTGAGTAGACAGATTGTTTGACCTCTTTTAATCTTGATAGCTTAGGCCTCATTAAATATTAAAGATTTCATGATTAATTATGAATTATAAATTATTATAGGCCTAAATCAGTTATAAGACTTTTTATGGTCGCCATTTCAATGAAAAGTATCGAAGCATTAAAGAAAATTATTAAAGTATTGTGTAATTCAGTAATTTATAGTTTGATAAAATTAAGAAATAACACACATTCATCCTTGGAAAATCATGAATTTTCTAAAAGTGTACTTAATTTTATAACTGAGATCCATTGCAATTTTAATTAGGGTATTGTGTCCGAGTTTATGCTTCCACTGCCGTGTCGGGCCGATCGGGCTGACATGGCAGTTAACGTGTTCAAGGCAATGCTCCCTTAGTAGATTTGCCATATTTATGGATCAGCTGAAGACAATTCTAATGACGTTTCTGTCAGGTGCCTCTAGGGGTGTATTTTGTGTACAATTTGTTTCCTGTTATTTCAATACTTAGCTACTAGTTTAACCAAATAACACAATCTAATTATAAACAAAAGCTCGAATGTTCTGGTTTTGAAAACCAAAAATCAGAGCACAAATCATAAAACTAACCCTAAAATAAGAGAGAAAAACAGCTTCACATTAATTTAAGAATGAGATGAGAAGTCAACCTGTGTGAGAATAGTATTGCATTATTCATTTTGTAACCCATAAAAATGTGCATACCGGTAGGTCCCGTCTTATGTGTGTGTTCAATATAGTTATAGCTAGCCTAAAGCTTGAAATTCAGGATGAATTTTAGTTAGATTTAAATGTTAAAAGGATCATTTATAAGCCTATTTATATTCTTATTAGTTAATCGCATGTGATTTATTATATTTTGATACATACTCTACTCCTTTTCTTTTTCAAAGGTCAGAGAGAATTTGTTTGAGGACTGGTTGCACCACAGCGGTCTAGTCAACACACTTCACTGTTACGTCCTCGGAAGCATGTATAATTTGGAGCCGGAGCATCAATTCAACCTCATACCTTACGCACAGTTTCCTGCAAACATCTCAGAGCACAAGGTCTCGCTCCTGTTGGATCCGTCACAAGTTGTGTACCTCAACTCCTTCCTTCCGTCGGAGCATAAGGAAGTCTGGAGGTTCCTTTTTTCTACTGATTCTCATGGCGAGAGCTTCTCCAAATTCGTCGGATGCATCGTCAATCAAGGCCCGATCTTGGTGGTAGTTAAAACTGCCAACAATAACACTTTTGGAGGATTCATCTCTACAAATGTCACTTTGAGTCCGAAGTGGATTGGTAAGTTTTTGAATTTATTGTTCAGTAGTAGGCCTAGTTCAATTTAGACACAAATTAGTTGTGACTTTCAGCTAAAATGTTTCGAGTAGATGTGGGTCAGAGTGTCTAACATGATTCCACAACTCATTAGACACTGAACTTGAAACGTAATTGATTTAGTTGTGTGTTTTTCTTATCTATCTTATAACACTGTTTAGTGTTTTGTTCACGCCATTCGTACGTCATTCGCCTATTGGGTCTGATGATGATTGGAGTGTCCAATCGAAATCGATCACCTTTTACCATCTTTTTTGTATATTTACCGTCTTGTGAGTAACAGTATAAGCGTAAATATATGTTTTAAGTGTTATAAGACGTTTCTTTTATTTACTTTCCGTGTTTTGTTCAATGAAAGATTCAAGGCCAGGATTTCGATTTGTAGAATAAATAAATCATCCTGCTTACCTTAGAAGTACAGAAAGGGCATGGATCTCAGTTAACAAGGTTTAAAATCTTGAAGGCCATGACAACAATCATTTTGTAACTAAACTTCTTTGCCTACACTTCCCTCAGGGGATGAAATATTTGTGTGTTTTTCCTAAATAAACTAAATGAAACCAGCTGCTATCTCTTTGACTACCCTGTCTAAACTGCTACTGTAAAGTTAATGGCAATAAAGTTTACAGTTCAATTGTTTAGTTCATCTTCTTCTTGAGCCTTAACATCATTTTACCTGATTTCCTAATACTACAGAGCTGTAGCAAAAACCTACTCCTGCAGCTGATGATGCCAAAACACTTTTCAGATTTATAAAACTTATTATAGTGAACATTTATTGTTTTTACCCCCTTGATCTCACAATATTTTGTAGATTAAGACATATAAAAATAAAAGGTATAGATATATATATAAGATTTAAAAAAAAATTAACCCTAGAAAATTTAAGGACAGCTTCCTTTTAAGGCGCCAGACAAAAATTAAAAATACATACTAAAAACTCCTTAATAATTTGGCATCCTTAGTTAATTGTATTCAGGAGACCATCATCGTTTGACTTGTATGTTGTTTTATACATATAGCAGCCTGAGTTACTTTGAGACTTGAAAATCCGTGATATGTTTGATATATAGTTGATGAGGATGAAAACAATTATTTGTTATCATATCCCTATTATTTTCATTACGTGCGTTATATCTTCAAGGCATCTTAGTAGGGATGGCCAAGTCTTGAAATTTCGGGAAATTTTAAATCTTGTTACACGAGACGAGATTTCTTTTTGGCCGAGATTTTTATCGAGACGAGAATAAAAAAAAAAAAAAATTAAAAACGCCTGCAGAAAGTCAATGCAATACCCGCAATACAGGAGCGTGTCGTAGTAGCGTTTCCTTTGCGAAGGCGTTCTTATTTAATTAATTCTTTAAATGTAAATATTACTTTAATAACATTTGAAAAGTTTTGTTAAGTGTAAGCAGTGTTAGGAATGTTTTATTACTATAAAAAGTTAAAACAAGTAACTATTTTATAAAAATTATTATTGCTTTTATTTTATGATTTATTTTATTTTAGGATAAGTTGAACTCTATCCTAACTGATATCACTATGTTTCCTAATCGTAGGGATTTTTAATAAGTTAGGCGTGATTAATAAAAAAATGTTATGCTGATGTTTTTTAATAAAAGATTGTAAATATTCTTGCCTATTATCATTATTTTTGTATTTAAACAGTCATCTAACAATGTTCCAATCAGGTAAAAATTTTGAACGTGCATTTCCCGTTGTGTATGAGAAGGGAAATCCCGTCTCGAAATTTTATGAGAAATAAAAAATCTCGTCTCGTCTCGTCTCGAAGTAAAAATCCAATCTCGCCCATCCCTACATCTTAGTAAAATTACAAATGCTAATGAAACATACTATGAAAACACAAAATTTCTTCTTTACATTTTAAACAAATAACATTACAATATTTTACTTAAATTCCCTAAAACAACTAAAAAACAACATAAAACATACTATGGAAACACAAAATCCAACGTAAGTTATAAACAAATGTAAACTTGAAACAGTTCAGATGATTGACAACAGAATTCAGGACAAACTCTTAAATTTTAAAAGCCCGTAGGACGAAGGGCTTTAATGAGATATCATCCAAACCCGCAAAAGGCACATCTAGAGGATAAGAGCTTTAAATTGATAACCAATATGCATATGAAAATAAATATTTAGGGGTAGAATTGCTGCACACAAAGATCCAAAAAATTCTTTTAATAATATAGATTATATAATACATATTATTGTTGCCAGTGAAAATGTTTACGCTATAATTCAATTTTTGTATTTATTTGTAGGCTCAGAAGGCAGTTTCCTATTCAAGCTGGGCTCTTCAGTCGATGTGTTCACTGGCACCGGATACAATGACCACTATGCTTATCTGAACTGTTCTCAGAGTACATTACCCAATGGACTGGTCAGTATTAGTGAGAGTGGGCCACTATATCAGACTTAATTAAATCTTTAGGCAGGTTACACAAACCGGAAGACGCTTGAGTAAATGTTAGAGACATGCATGTCTTTTGTCTTTTTAATCTTGGGACATTTCTCTTACTACACTACAGTTAAGTTAAGTACAAAAGTCGCCAAAAGATAAACAATTGATGTTGCCCTTCCCAGAAAACGACATCAACAGTGGGTGGTTTTAAATACCCTTCACACGTTCTCTAAAGCAAATGCAGAGATATCAAGCTAGTTTGTTACAATCCAACAACAAACGTACGATCACACTTGCTTCAAGAATACTTAAGAATCAAACTCAGCAATATGAATAACTTCTAAAAACAAGCTAAATAAACGACTGGACAACCTCATTGCCTAGGGATGAGTGGCAGTGTGCATGCGCCTGACTTGCTTTTGTACAACATAGCTCATCAAACATAACACTGACCAACCTGTAAAGTAAAACACATGTCTAAACACAGAAGACGTCTCTGGCAAAAGTCGCAAGGTGTGTGCAAGCCCTGATTTGATAACATGGGTTGGTTTCATGTGCGACATTCCTCGGATATGAAATATGTTTCCATCATCTGTGCAAACATTACTACCTAACATAGTCTAACACAGATCTTCATGATCTGGTGTCTTGCATAAGAGGATTCTATTGTGATGTGAAGATTTGGGCCTTTTGTTATCCGGCTCTTTTTAATACACCACTGTACCACTAGGCCTGTAATACCCAAAGGAGTATTTAGATGATGAAAGGGAATATAAAAATAATAGGGGAATGAGTGACAAAGTAAACAAAGACATTACTTTCTAGATTCAGCCTCAGGGCTGCACATTCGTATATGGTGGTTTTTGACCAAACTATGTTTAAGTGTTTTTCATGTATACACAAATGTTTTTGCGTGCATCTCAATGTTTTTTCTTAACTGATTGGGGATATAAGGTACGATGACGTTTGCCTGAGAAATATTTTAATAGAAACTGGTAGCTGTTCAAAGGTTTAGGATCACTTGGCAGGCCAGATACATTAATTTAAACAAACCAGTTGAAGTGATGAGAAAAATCTTTTTTCATATGATATGCCTACCACTAACGTGTTCTGAGTTTTGTTTCTTAAAACATGTTATTTACCTGATTCATATTCCTATGTTCAAAAATCTGTAAACATTTTCCCTTGTATGTGTTTCAGGGAATGGGAGGCCAGTATGGGTATTGGGGTCTCTGGATAGATTCCCAATTCGGAGTTGGGGAGTGCAGTGAGACCTGCACAACATACAAAAACTACAAAATGTTGGACTCGGGAAAGAAGTTCCACATAAAGAACTTGGAGGTTTGGGCTGTTGGGGAACCTCCTCCAACTGAAGAAGAGCTGGTAACATTAACATTTGTTCTTACAGGTTTTTTAGAATTTTTGATTATTGTTTGTGTTGGATTTTAAATGTCTGCAATAACTACAGTAGATGCTCGCTAATTTGGCGCGTTCGGGATTTACTTGGCGATACTGGATAATTGAAGATTCTGGGTTGCTGAACATCCTCTAAAAACAACGGTTACTGCAGGACTAGCTCATTTTAGAGCGTTAAATGGAAGTTTTTGGCCGGCGACTCGTTATTTGATTTTCATTGTGCTTCTGCAATTTTATTATTGATATGAAATAGTTGATATTTTAAAAATTTATGGAAATAACTAAAACTAAAAAATTCAATCATCTTTGTGTTAGAGTAAAACAAATTCTTAAAAAAATTATAGCTTACTTTACAAATGATTTAACAGCTGTGTTTCACTGCTAATCTTATGAAGGTAAGGGTAAATTGTATTTTTCACAGGAAAGCCTGTTTAAATGTTGGTAGTAACTTTTAATTTGACATTTTTAGGGTGAGAGATCCACGAGTAAAACAGGTAGGTCGGCCCTAGACCAAGACCCTGCAAGTGCCACGATTCTGGAGATGGCTGGACGAGAAATGCACAGTAAAGGCATCAGAGAGGGAATGGCAAAAAAGAAGCATTGAAACATCGAAATTCTCCAACTTTTGGATAGAGGTTAGTTCAAAATATGTTACCTCTTGGAGTTAATTTTGAATATAGTCTATAAATTGTGAAATTTTCATCGCATCCATTCAAGGATTTTACTACAGTTGAACCACATTAGTACGAACCTCGGTAAAACAAATTCCTCGATAAGACTAATTTTTTTTTTATCCACTTGAAACTTTCATTGAGATCAATGCTAAAAACACCTCTATACAACGTAGTAATTAGCTTAAAAACCTCCACAAGACGAATTTGTTTGTGACGTGGACTAGGACTAATTAACCTCTACAACGAATATTCTTAGCACAAAACCTCTACAAGACGAATTTCTCATGTCTTAACCTACATAGGGACAAAGTATTCAAAACAAACAGAAGCTTGTCTTAACATAAAACCCCCACCCATCCCTCTTCCTTCCTCAGTCATTGTTTAAGACCTCTATAACACGAGTAGGGAACGGCAGTATTAAACCTCTATAAAACTAACCTTTTTATTAAGAATACCTCGATCATACAATTTTTTCCCCTACCCCTTGAAATTCATATTATGGAGGTTCGACTGTATATAAAACTAAATCAGCTGGTTTGTAAATTAATTGTTTGATTTTTTTCAGGCAAATCCTAGCTACAGTGCTGGAATATGGTGATGGTCTCCAAGTACTTTTGTGCCAAATAATGTTACCAAGCCAAGTGTTGACACTTAGGCTAAGCTTAGAATGTTATTGTATGTATTAAAATATTTTCTTTTGTTGATTTTTTGGTTGATAACAAGCTTAACTTTAATTTCATACTTCGGGCAAGATGAATTCTTGGAATGCTTCTGAAGCGTTGGTCACTTATGTATATATTTCCGTTAATTCAAAAGTCATCTATGACAGTCTTATTTGACCGTGGAAGCCTTACTTCAAGATTAAAGTTACTACACTAAGGTATTGATATCGTTCTTTTCTGTGTTTTAAGTTTTATCTGGAAATGCTTCGTGACAATTTTATTTCCGACGAGACATCATAAAAGTCTACTGCTTAGCTCTAATAGTTTTGGATTAAATTTAAATTAAATTTTAAACCCTTGATTTTTATAACAACTTTTAAAACCTTCATCAGTATTTTGTATCATTTGGAAATGAACCTGTTCCATTCCACACAGTACAATACCATTGTGTGAATTGTGAATGGTTTCCAGTAGGTTACCTATCAAACTAAATCAAATCTGTTGCTCTGATTGCATAGAGACAAGTGCTTTCTCTAGTCTTTCGTCTTTTAAGTGAAACGATCTGTAAAATTTTTAATGTAAAGGAAGAAAAACATGTGAAATCAATATCAGATCGTTTGAAAATTTGTACTTTGACAAATCAAAGCTTGACAATATATTTAAGGTTGTATAAAATTATTTAAGACTAAAATTGTAATATTGTTGACAAATTAAATGTTTATTGAACATTGCTTATGATTTCCTTGGAAATTTCTCCATTAATAAGGTTTACAAAAGAATGGGAAATAGTGCTGATTGATTTGGTAGTTGATTGTATCATGTTTACAACTAATAATTGTAAAGCATATTTATTTGCATTTTACAAATGTCTTCTCTTTGAGAAATGTGAGAATGCATTATTTTGTGTCACAACATAATTGTATACACAACTTGTGTGTGGTGGTTCTCTAATAGGCGTTTTCAAGTAGATATTTTCGGTAACTGTTTATCCCAATTAAATTATTGGATTTATAATTTTAAAGCTAAATCCTCTGGTTAAACTGGTACAGTATAATAAGGTATAATTTAATATCTTTAGTTAAAGGTTCAATTTGGTTTACATACAAAGAAAATCTTTCATTAAGTAAATAAACACAAGCCTATGTATTTGAGGGTTATAGGATTTCAGTAAACGAAACTGGATCCTGAGAAAAAGTTTATTTGTAACAAAAATATAATTTGTAGGCTTATTTTATGCAAAGACATACATTCATTAGTAAGTGTAACTTGCTACTCATTTCAAAATAGCCTACATCTTTTCTAAAACTTTTACTCCATAAAAAAACTTAAATTGCTACAAACAATGCATGTATTTACGGTTGCAGCATTTAGACAAATATAAAAACTTGGGTCACATATTGAATCCTCACTTCAAGACAATATAGATTTAAAACTAGACAGAGCCTATCATTAATTACAAAAACGTAACACTGATAAAATTTTACTTCAAATTTAACAGTAAGATGGCTGTAAACAAATTTGAAAATTCTAGTAACACAACTACGAAACTCCAACATCAATGTGATTCAATTGGTTCTCCCATCAGTTCTTCACTGTTCTCGCACTTCAACCCTTCACTTTTATCATTCTTCAATTCTCTCCTTTTCTTTGGCTTTTCATTTACAATGTTCTTGGATTCTTCAGTTTTATCATTCTGGGTAAGTAGGTACTTGATGCAAGCGTTCTGGCAGTGGCGTACCATGTATTTCCTCTGGGAGAACGCCTTTCCGCACATTTTACATCGCCAAGCCCACTGATGATGACCTCTTGTGCGTTGGTGCGCTCTTAGATTAGACCTGTTGTAAAAAGAGATCCTGTTACTACACCAAAAATTGTTCAAAGATATAAACATAGATTAAACACAACCAACATGAATACAACACAAGGATTTTCACCATGTACCATAGGGAACTTGGAAAATAAACCAATGAAGATAATGCTGGACATAGGTTTGATTCAAGTTGAAGAGAGTTTTAGAGAGAGAGATTTAGATCATTCATGCAGTTTTTTTCCCCTAGGACGCTAGGCAGGAGCCCGGAATTGTTTTTCACAATACTTCAGGCTAGACCTAGGGGTTGTGACATTATCACATAGATAATATCCATTAGTGAATTGGTGGGATTTGAACCCGGGGCCTCTGGAACCGGAGTCCTGCACTCTAACCACTAGACCAGCTCAGCTTGCTCCCCGTTCATACAGTAATGACAATCTTAAGTTAGATTTTACGCGGTATTGATACTGGACCCAAATGATATTTGCCATATAATTAAAATTAATTTAACTATCAATTAACAATGCTATCTAACAAATCGTTCAAATAGTAACAAGACAAGGGTTTAGAACACAAAAAACGTAAAAATCGCAATAGAGTAGACAAACAAAACAAACACACAAATCCAAAACAAGATAAGTACAACACTTCTTCAATAACTTTTACCACAACCTTTTTTACCTTTTGGACACTGATAGGTTACTAGTAGGAGTAGGGAAGGATGAGGAAAGTGTGCCAACAAAGACAAAACACATTAAAGAAAGACATAGGCCTAAGCGCAACTTACCTCTCAGCCAAGCTCGCATAACACATAGAGCAATAAATCAGCGTCTCGTCTAAGTGCAATGCTATGTGGCCTTCAATAACCAACTTCCTGTCAAAATTTACAGACAATCTTTAAAACAAACTGAGATAACGTTCAACACAATGGATAAGGACAGATGGATGGGAAAGAGTTCAGGGACGATCTCTCTGACCAGAGATCGAAGGAGGCAGGAAAGATATTGGAAGCATAAGAGTTTGGTAATCAAGGATCAAAACACAAAATAATTGGATCTCGTTATAGTTACAATTTTTCTTCGGAACCATGTTTCCATCTAGTATGGCATCTAACGACGACTACAGTCAATCTTTTTTATCAACACTGATTCAAGATGAAACCGACTGCAACTGGGTATCAAAAATTGTGAAACATTAAGTCTTAGGAAACTAGAAATACACTGGGTGTATAATAAATTGCTAGTCTAGTGTTAAGCATTTTCGTTGCTGGAGCAAGTTTGGTTACGTCATATCCACAAAATGGATGTGTCCGCTTTCCATTGAAATTGTTTAAAAGGTTTCCAACCCATAAAATATTAGCTTGGACCCCAACATAGACAGCCAAATGTAGGCTAAATGTTCTACAATGGATGTAAATTATAATTTCCATAACCTATTATTTAAATTTTAAAACATTGACGTTGATAGAAAAACATCAAACACGTTTAATACGACTCCTTTCCTGTAACAAGCTTTCTTAAGCGAAATATCAAATCATAATAAACACTAAAGTCCACTAACCTGTCAGCAAAGCTCTTGTGGCACATGGAGCAGGTAAATGGTCGCTCACCGGTGTGAAGTCTCATATGACCCTTCAGCACCCAAGGTCGGTCGAACCCCTTGTTGCAGTACGAGCAGTAGTGCAACGTAGATTCTAGCTTGCCTTCCGCAGACTTATGCTGGCTGTTGCTACTCTCAGTTGTATTGTCCTTACTCATCTGCCACAAGAATTCACAAAATGATTATGGATTTAATCCTTGTGAGTGCAAGAGTGTGTTTAGTAAAAAATGCGGGACTTAGGTCCCAGATTCAAATCACCAATGCATTTTATCCAAGTGATAATGTCGCAACCCCTAGGTCTAGCCTGAAGTAATGCAAAAAACAATCACGGGCTAGTGCCTATATTTCCTAGGATAAAAGAAGAGAAAAAAATTCTTGTGAGTGTTTGTAGAAAAAACGTATTTGTTTTATATAGGTTTACCCTATGTTTGCCAGGTGAAAAGTGGTGAAGCTTGGTGTACATTTTAGACAATAGACAGTTTCCCTTATTTGTAATTTCGTTAAAAAATACAATGGTGTCACAAAAATCCAGTATTTTTAACATTTAGATTGTTTGACAGTTTACATTTTTTTGTATTGAAAGTTCATAATTTTTCCACTTGTGTAACTAAAAGTAGTACTTTATTTACATGCTCATTAACAGCACAGCATACAATCAGTTTACAGCAAAGTTTAGTTTACATATTAGTACTACCGAACACTTACTTAACCATTACAATTGTTACGGTGTGAACTAGGAAGGTAGTCAGCTGCGATTTGTCTGTATCTATATTAATTTCACTTTTAAAATTCATCAGTATAACCCAAAAGGTATTTTAAATTGTTAATTGCCAAGTCAACTATTTTTTACACATGAATAACCCAACCAACCCAATATCTTAAACTAGACAATCATTAACGAATAAGAATAAGAATCTTTATTACCCTTTAAACATTTTACAGTGCAATAGGGTTTGTCATTTTGCTACATAATATTAATATGCAATTAATTGTGACATTGTGCATTGATGCACTCAATTAGGTTATGAGTTGAGTTAACAATTCCATTCAATCCAGGAACATAAATTATAAAGCGATGAGTTGCTGTAAAGTTCTGTTGTCAATGCCATAGTTCCAAATACTTTGTGTTCGGAGTACTTTGTGTTGGAAATACCCGTAGTGTTTTTTACTATTGTGTTGTTTTGTTAACGACAGCCCAATTCCATCCAGTACCTAATCAAAGGTATAAATATTTTAAGTAGGTATTCTTGATTGTAATATTAAAACTAAATTATAGCCAAATTCATAGATTAACCTGACTGAGTCCTGTAAGAGCATTAAGCAGATAGCTCAGTTCGGCCATGTCTTCTGTCGGCATTGATTCTTGCATCAAAATGCTTGATGAATCAAGAGCACTTTCTGTTTCATTGTCCGATGTTTCACTCAACGGGGGAGAGTCATACTCTGGTTCAATGTATTTTATCTCTGTTTTATCTGGAAGCTTAAAAAGGTCCCATCTTATTGTAATAGGCAGCTCGTTGACTTCACTCCAATCTAAAAAATATAGAAACAATCCATTTTTGGATGAGTATGATTATTGATAAATTACAATAAAAGTTAAATTTCAATTTTTCATATTTTCACATGTGAGTTGTTCATTACGAGACAGTATGTGCTAGGATTGGATCAATTACAGTAGCCTCATCTGTCCTTTGTATTGCTTCTTGGCGACTAAGTCAAGTCAATGCAATGACTACAATTAGGTGAATATCAAGGCGGAGATTGTGTGGTAGGCACGGAAAATTCCACAATGTGTGCTTTGCTGCACAGAAATGACAAGATTGTGTACTGTTTTATCTCTTGGCAATGGGTATTGCGTCAATTAGTGGAAAGCAGGATGTGCATTCCCACAAGAAACCTTTTCCCACCACTGTTGCTTAATTTTGTACGGAATTTCAACAATTAATTGCTATTGAATTTAATACCACTTGCAAATAGTGGTGAGTGTCTGGAGCATTTTCCTAATTTTTCTCTACATACCATCCTAAGACACCATCTATATCCACCCAAACTTTGAGGACAGAAGAGTGGAGTTTACTGTACATAGAAGACTAGCATTAGATATTTCCCCCATCAAACTTCCGATAGACATATCTACCTTTGAAGCTTTGATATATGCTATTTGCAATTTTTATAATATAGTGATCTATATAAAAACTGCACCGTAGTATTTGTGCAATTAGTGAGCAAATTAGTACTTTTTTTAACAAGGAAAGAATTATGACAAATGAAAATTAGCCACAGAAAGTCCATGAAGAAAAAGTAAAATATTTATAAGAAAAC